AATGTTTTGTGATGCATTATCTGCAATAAAGATACATTGTAAGTAATAAAACCGTATTTCGATATGATTAACAGAAACACAAATGTGCAAAGAGTGGAGTCTTGTTGGCAAAGAAGTGTTTACAGATAAGTACATCAAAGTTCGTAAGTCGTTCATAGTGAATCTTTAATAAAATAACACGTTAGATCAACTTATCCAAATAATAACCATTACAATATCAGTCCAGTATCATAGCCGCTGAATAACCTAAGACAACTTAATCTAAGTCCCTTAATATGCGTCCGTGAACTGCACGAGCCGAACGGGATAATATGTACCTACCTCATTCGTAACAAGCATGGCGTATACGAAATACGGACATAAATATCCAAAACTCAGAATAAAAGATACACATCTATCGACAGTAGGAGACATGTAAGGAAAAGCGTTCAGAATACACTTCTACCAATGACATATAGTCAACATTGTTAAACTACATTCAGGAATAACATTTTGTACTTTTGAAAAGTATCTTAAACAAGCGGATTAACTGCAAGTGTGAAAATAATTACAACGCGTTTGAAATAATATTGATATATGAATACATGTCAATCACCTTTTCGGAATTTTCGCAAAAATAAGAATTTCAAAAACCTACCGGAATCATTGAATTAAATAACAAACATAATTAAAAACTTCACTTATAATTGAGAAAAATAAATCCAAGATGGTTTAAACCTAATGTAGTGTTAATTGATTCCGGCAAAAACAATAAATGGATCCTCCTTACGAGTATGGCTTGCCTCGAGGAGGGATAATCATAACAACGCACAAAATTTCTCGAGTCTAATCCTTGCCAAAACGAAGGCAATATAAACGGTCAATTATATCAATAACATATGTGGAAATACCAGTCTGTAGAAAAATACGAAATAGTAGCGGTTATGGTCTATTCAATATTCGTCGTCCTTTTAAGCTGACTCACACAGAATAATGTCATGAACAAAATAACTGTTACCTCGGGACTAGTATACACTAATCCCGTAGAGGCCGCAACCGACTACTCTGGCTAATTTCCATGTCCTAACATAATCATGAGAACATATTTTGTGTACAAATTCAATGGGCATTGCTATAATTTCCTGTTGTGATAAATGAAAAATGATCGAAACGCATGCCATTGGGCACCCTCTAGCCGACGGATGGCGAAGAAGGAGCAAAGTCGTTCTGACGCAGCGCAGCTGCTAAGCTTATTTTATAGCCCATTATGGAAAGTACAAGAGAACATACGTACAACGTACACATTAAAAATGTTACTTGAAAATACTAAAAAAAATGCAGCCATGAGAGAGCAAAGTGTGACCCTTCAATTTAAATCACTGATTTATATCTACGTATTTCAATGACTAGCAAGTTAAGAGCGTTGTTAGTTATCAGAACTATCCGGGCGCCCTTCCTGCGTGGGGCGCAAACAATCCACCATTCTCAGCACGAATCCACCAAGTTATAAAAAGCTCATGAGCATGATAGATATGGCATCAAACTGTTAGGAATGTGATTAAAAATCTCTTAAAAGATTTAGGCCGTAGCGATCTATCAAACTCGATGCTATAATAAAGTCTGGGCGCGTTGGACAGCTTCCGCTTTCTAGCGAGGTTTACAATATCAAGCGCCAATCGCCAGTCGGCGCTTACACAAATTAATGACAGCTGGTTACCTATTCTGGGATTGCAGCACATCGTATGTCACGTCTGTTTGAGCAAAGCGAGCTCATATATTCCTTGTAAGCAATTTCAATCAAGTGATACGGAAGTAAAAAAATAATACAAAAGATTAGCTTAAAGCAAAAATAAGAAATTAACCAACTGAAGTAATATCAAATTCGTTACATAATGTCTTCTATTACAAGCCTGCGCCCTCTTGCTGACTGCAACCTAAGTAGTATTACGTGTTCGCATTACATTTTTTTTAAACATATAGAAATAATATTGAACTATTGTCCAGGATAGTGAACACTTTAGCGATGGTTACAGGCGGTAATCAGCACCGCTACTAACTGCAACGGCGTAATAATCGATACAATGTTATTTTGAAAATCCGCATTTCGGCTTTAACGTGAACGATATTTGTGCATTTTCATAGGGTTCCCTGAAGGTTCGCTAAACGTTAACTAGAATTAATTAATGGGATGACTAATCAGCAGTACCCACACAGTGGAGGTGGGAGTCCGCCTTCGGCCGTCGCTCATTCGAAGGACATGAGATTCGCGGGCAGCGGCTTGGCCAGCTTGTTGGTGACCTCCCCGATGTTCAGCACCCACTGCTCGGCCACCGCTTCGGAGCCGGTCCTGGGGAAGCAAGGGCACGCTATCAGTGTGCTCTTGGCGTCCGCTGAGCGTCATGCGTCATGCGTCGTGCGGCTGGCCGCTCTCACTTGAACTTGTAGAGCGTGCCGGTGGAGGGGCTCAGGAGGCGGAAGCAGTCGCGCGGCTCGCCGGCGGCGCCGCCCGCGGCCACCCACCCGCCCAGCGGCACCACCTTGCACCGCTCCGCGCGGAAGTCGCCGCGGCTCGTGCTGCTCGCATACAAGAGAACCGTCGCCATTAAATGCCCTTCATCATATTAACAATAACAATCCTATACAAAACATTTAACAAACGTTCTACGAACCCCTTGAAAGACTTCGACGCGTAGAACACGAGGGCATTTTCGACTAGCTCCAACCAAAATCGCTGCCAAGATGAAAGGGACACTTTCCTTCCATCTTTTATTACAGTTTTTCTTCTAACGTAGCTTTGAAAGTGACATTCCGAAGAGAGTACTTTCGTCAGTTCACTGAAATAATAATTACATTACACAATTATTAATTGAATATACTTATTTATATACAAAAACTGTAACACCTCCAATCCGAGGTGTTGGACATCAATATGGCCACAGCCCATCGCGTCCGTATGACGCGTGTAAGTGAGCACCTGTTGGTGTGCGGGAGGGGCGGTGCGGCGGAGGCGGACGCGTGGGCGCAGGCGGAGGCGGAGGCGGTGGCGGAAGCGGAGGCGGAGGCGACCGGCGACTCGAGCAGGGTGTCGTCGAGGAGGTTCACGGAGCCCGCGGGCGTCCTCTCCGCGCACCGCTCCTCCGGCTGCGCCTTGCCGAAGATGCTGCCGCCAATCACAAGCTTAACGCACTCACCGAACATCACCACACGACCACAACCAATCAATCACGTTGACGTGGCCGTCTGACGGGTTACGGAGCGCCCCCACACCCCTCTCTCGCGCACACACTCACGCACACACACACACACAGACATATAAGCGCGCGCGCACACACACACTACTAGGCGCCCAAATGTTTATGAGAAACCAATGAAACTCGATTGCATTAAAAATAAAGCTTGAGCCAAAAGTAAAAAAAAAGGATTTACAATAAAGGTCGCATTGAAAGCTATGAATATATATATATATATATATATATATATATATATATATATAACATCGATGGAACAATCCCGTAGGCATGAAATTCTCTAAAATCTACTCTGTAATAACTAAACTAGCAACAACGTGCCTAAAACAAGAGACTCACGACAACGGCATGCAAAGAAGCGTTGAATACTACGTGAAAACCGGCCGTGCTTCAAAAACGTATGGGTGGATCACATACACGGTTTTAACTTTAATATCCATTTACAAGTGAGTTTAATACGTAAATTGTGCAAAAATTTTAGGCACTATCGGGATTCAAGCTGCCTCTTTTCCAACTTGTCCACATGTTATATTCTGTTAACCTCAAATGTACATTTCTAATTGAGTGCAAAGTAACAGGTATAAAGTAATAAAAAAAACCTAAATTAATATCGATTATCAAATTGATTAGGAAATTTTAACACCTTTTTAAATTTGTAAAAATGCATATTAAGAACGAGAAAGAATTAAAATTCATAGCTATAAACTAATCAACATAAATGACCGTCATACGAGTACATAATATTCATCATATTCACGGAAATTAACAAAATAAAGATTTTATTTTTATTTTGGATGATGGTAGAAATGCGTATTTGTGAGGTGAAGAAAATGGTGGCTTTGTTTAGTGAAAATAAAAAGACTGAAATTATTTTTTTAAAGATTTTTATATTTGTTTCTTCATTAAATTTTCACTTTATTTCTCTGCCGATTAATAATACATATAAGTGAAAAACGTATGATTACGTATTGTAAAAAAATACCTCTTCTTTGCACTACTGTTATAGGTTTGGTTATATTTGTTATATATAACATATAACATATAACATATACATATACATATACATATATGTATGTATGTACAATGTTGAAATATAAAAACTAAAGGAACTGTCGTCGGTAAAATTACATTGTGAATCCTCGCTCTGAAAAAGCTTTTGTTAGCTATTTTGGATGCATATACATAATATATCGCCTCGTATTTCATTTAAAATTAAAAATGTTTTACGGTTACTAATCGTAATTGATGGAACGAAAATGAAATGAATTGGATTTACGGTTTTTAAAAGAAAGAAGGCGCCTAAAGGATCTGTTTCCGTAAGATTCAATAATAATAGATGCAGACCGTGAAAAGTTCTAATAGAGCGATAGCCGCTCTTCTAGAATGTTCTCTAGAATACCTACAACAACAGGGCACCGCAGCCATTAGGAAAGTGCTAGTATAGTAGGTATGTATGCGCATGCGATATACACAACAGTGGTTAGGCATCGCGTAGGGCGAAGGGTGAGGGCCGAGTGGAGGCTTTGGCCGCGCCCTTGGCTGCGACCTAGCTACGACCAGCTCCCAGCAGAAAATCACTCACTATGATGGCCGCATGCGTGTACTTATTTAAGATTGCAATCACTGGCATTACGCAATTATTGTCTAAATAACAACAAATAATGCAAGCCGTCGTATTAATTCCAATTAAATCGACTCACCCCACACCGAAATTGACCTTGTGAAAATTTCTTGGCAAACTCGCACTACGAAACCTAATACCCAATGCCGGGAAAAATAGCATTATAAAATAGATTTATATGCAAATTCGTAAACATGTTAAATAAAACAATGATAATAAATATCGACAAGGGGTCGCTGGAAACGAGGATGTATCTACGTTCAGATTCTTCAGAGGTCAGCCATCGAGGCTTAATAAATCTTTCACTAAGAAAATTACTGTGAACTGCATCACGACATAAATAGAAATCGTGAAAAGACTTCCTCTTATCAAGGGCGGCGACAGAAGGTAGCATTGATGGTAGTCACAAACTATCTACGACGGACAGAGTGACGGGCGTACGTGTCCGCCGCGTCTCGGCGCACCTCGTAACGTTCTACACATTTCTACACATGGAATGTTTATGCAAAACAGCCAAACAAACGTAAACTGATTTCCACAACCTCCAAATAAGAACATACCTTTTAATTAAAGATGAATCGAACAAAGGACTACAGGTTAAAATCATTAAAATCAATCAATTAGTTGCGGTTCGTGACAGTTTCAATTTATTAAATCACGTATAAATTATATCGGAATCGGAATGATAAAATTATTCAACTCGCTCTTAGTATTCGTCCCGATAGTGCGTTGGTTTTATGAAACGGGCACGCTCGTATGGTGGGCCCCTCGGCCCCTGGGGAATCGGACGAAATTATCACATTCGGTCAGTTTCCCACAAAGGTCTCGGAGGTTGTCGATACGAAATGGACCAACCGATACGAAGTGACAACCAATCGATTTGAATCGGTTGAAAAAAGAAAGATCGAGACACAAAGGAAATTCGAGTGGTATAATAAAGGGCCACAGTGGCGCGATACGTACTTGGAGCCGAGCGAGCGGCACTTCCTGTGGGTGGGTATGAACTTGGGCTGGTATGCGGAGTGGAGGCGCAGCGAGCCGGAGCCGAGGCGGTGCGCGGGCGAGGGCGCGGGCGCCGCGGCGGCCGTGGCGGCGGCGGGGGCGGGGGCGGGGGGCTCGCCCGCGAGCGCCACCGACTCCCTGGAGCCGCCGCAGCTGGCGGCCGGCGAGCCGGGCTCCAGCCTCAGCGACAACCTGCCGGCGCCGCGCAAGCGTCAAGCCGCGCTCTCCTCGCTCCCCCAGCGCTCGGGGACCGCACTCACTTGTAGTGGTCGTCCTCGAGGAACTTCTGCAGCTCCTCGATGTAGCGCACGCTGTTCAGGTAGTCGGCCACGGGCGGCAGCGGCGCCATGTCGTAGCGCGAGCCCTGGTAGCGCTCGAGCGCGCGCAGCACCACCGACATCTTGGCGGCGCGGTGCGGCGAGCCGGCCGGGTGCGCCATGTCGATGTACACCAAGTCCGTCAGGAATATACCTGCCCCGGTTGCAATGCAACTAACATTAATCCACACGTTCACATTCATCGTGCTTCAAATTCAAATATCTTTATTCCATATAGAAGCATCCACTTACTTATTCATTTTCTAAACACTACCACCTCCGATTCTCTCGGACCCAGATTACAAACTGCTCAAATATCTTTTTTGGAGGATGCAGAATGTATTTATATCGGCCGCGTTATCCCAAAGTACAATGTCATAAAACATTATACTGTGGGTATAACTAAAATGTACCAAACGAGCCGTAACCACTGCCTGAGCTGTCTTATTTTTTTAACCGCAAAGGGTGCTGAACTTAGTCTAGTCAATAGGGTCTAAGCGCTTCAAACATAAAAGCACATCAGCTTTTAGAAAGGAAAAGAGACTTTCGTATTACTAAGCTTAGCATACAAGCAGAATAGTGCAGCAGAAACGATAATACGAAGATGATTTCACCGAGGTAAGGTATGCAGGGCAAAGAAATGCTGCGCAGGTATTCGCGAAGTGCCATCCAATTATCCTTTTCGCCGAACAGCTCGGCAAGCTTGTCGAACTGCAGTCTGTCCTTCTTGGACAGGCACGCCCAAGTCTTGGTCAACCTGCAACGCGCGCCGCACCAAATTTAGTCTCCTGTTCCGCGGCCTGTTGGCCTCCTCGCGTCGGACGTCGTACACCTGTACCTGTATATGCTGGCGCTGTTCAGTGCGGACACGATGGCGAACAGGGAGTGCAAATTGTTCAGCTCGTGAAGTTTCTTCGCCACCTTTATGAAGTGTGCCAACGTCTCGGCGCGCACTTTGGGCGTCTGCCCGTTCAATATCTCTTGCACGGTCCAGAAGCTGACCTGCGAAAATCCGTTCACCATTTCTACCTTCAGAATACATCCAAGCTGTATTACCTTTTGCTGAACATACCCTATTGAAGCGCTTCGTGAACGCGACCACGTTCGGTGCCACGGTCTGCTTATTGAGTTTATTCCAACCACAAGTGGTGAGCTCCTCTGGTTGGATCGCCTTAAAGCAGGGCAGGTCCAGGAGCGATAGCTGGTTGGCGATGTCCTCTGGCGAGATGCCAAGCGCCGAGCACACCACCTCGCCCCACGACTGGTTGATGGACGAGGCCGGTGGCAGGCTGCTCGTCTTGTACTGATAAATTGGGTCTTGTTTCCGATTGTTGGCTGCATTCTCCCCGTGTCTACATAAAACAAATTTTAATAACCGGTTACGTATGTGAACTAGTTGTCTCAATGGTTCTTTTATGTAGGTTGCCTAATCAAAATCGTTTTATAAATTAATAAATACAAGTTTCTTGGAGTCGAAAATCTTCGGATAGTGGCTCAATTATCAATTTATGTAAATGCTGAAACAGAGCGTTGAGCGGTCAACACTCAGCTATAATGGGCAGACTATAAGAGTCGCAAGTCAATTATTTCTCTTCTCATATTTCTGTACAAATTCCCTTTTATCGCCAAGACCTAACTGACGATAACTAATCGGTGTACATCGAATTGACCGATCACGATTCAATATTAAATAATCCTTACAAAAGAAGCATTTTTGTGGTGATCTCATCCCATGTGACAAAAGACTTTACTGTGGTAGTGTTGTCGTTTTCTGGATATTTAGGGTCTCGAGAGTCAGTTATCGGAATAACCGTCTCGATTCTCCAGAATGGCGAGCCGTGTATCTGAGGCCACTAGATGTTTGTGGCTTGTCCTTTGGTCGCCTCTTTTTCGACACTCACGGGAGGAGATGGGGTGGCTTCTACTTACGCCGAAATATAAATGAATGTGACAGATGATATAGAACGTACGATACGGAAAAAGATACCAGTCTAATTAATACATAATTACCTGGAGGACCGAGCTTTGCTCGGATTGTGTTTTTTTTTGGTAAATCGTGTATTTTGGAAATTACATTTAGATACAAATTACTGAGTAATGAAACATGCATAATATTTTGTCGATCTTACCAACGTAATAATAAGAAAATAGGAACTGGTGTTTTTCATAAAAGATTAAGATTAAAAAAAAAGGAAAAAATAACAAAGAAAAAATCGACAAAAAATAAAAAATAAAGAAAGCGACGTTTTACAGATATAATAATAATTCGTAACATAAATTCAAGACGCTGCTAAAAATCCTCACGTTGACTCGGGCGGGCCCTACGAGGCAATCTCATAAATGGGAACTAAGTCTTTGTAAAACATGGTCACTTACCCGTAATTAAAATAACAAGCACAATCATCTTTGGTGAATGTATGCTGAGTGGATTTCGCGACATTGCCAGTTTTCTTATTCAATTGTTTGCAGGCTGGCTTGTCCTCCAGGGGCCAATTCTCTTCATCTTCATGCTGTTACACATAAAAAATACAATTTTGATACAAACACTAGTCCACATTCTCAGACCAATAAAAAAGTATGCACAGAAAACTGCACTTAAATAAGTGAGGCACGTAATATGTAGACATTTCACTCATATGAAGACAGCCTCTTGGCAGTCTACCGCGAATGAGTGAGAGTACATGACGTAGTTTTAATAAAGTAATAATTGAAAAATTCTGCCGTGTTGTGTCATTAATGGCTAAAAGAACAAACTATCACGGTTCATGAGATATATCTTGCTGCCTGCTCCAGGCCATCCTAGGTTCAGGCTCCAGTTTCCGGGGGTAGGGCCACGCAGCGGCCTCGGCTGTTGCACGAATGAGCAGGCTCGTCCGGGTAAGTACCACGACCTCACAGAAGACCGGCGTAAAGTGGAAGTATAATACTCTCGCGTTTCGTCTGGTGAATGAGGTGTCTGGAGCCCGATTTTCAAAAGGTATTTATTAAGTCAGAAGGTAGCAAAGGAGCTGGCGGTTCACCTGATGTTGAGTGAACACCGGTACCCATAGTCATTTGCAACACCCGCGGGGTTGCAGTTGCGTTGCCACCCTGCGTTTAAGATAAAGTGGGCCCCGGCTCACTCACTAGGCGAAACCCAAAAGTATTACACTTCCACAGCCACTGCACACCGGCATTCTGTGAGGTACGAACGAACGGACCTGACCATTCGGACAAATGTGAAAACTGTTGCGTGGTCGTACCACAGTAACAACTTATTAGACGTACATATGATTTTTTTATTTCACTAATAGGTTAAGTCAATTCCGTGCTGAAAGGCAAATCGCACAGCGCAGGGTTGCGGCGCTGTCGCCTTCCGTCAAGAAAGAGCTGCTGCAGAAAAAGATATTATAAATTAGGTACTAGCCGTCCCGGCGTCGTTTTGCCATATAAATTATTTGTAAGGTAGAAAAAAATGTTTGCGGTGGACCACCCTTAACATTTCGGGGGGTGAAAAATAGATGTTGTCCGATTCTCCAACCTGGCCGATATGCTCACAAAATTTTACGAAAATCGGTCAAGCCGTTTCGGAGGAGTTCAATTACAAACACCGTGACACGAGAATTTTATATATTAGATTATTGTTATTAATTTCAAGTTCAAAATATGTAATAATAACTTAGTACCTGGAGGACCTGGAGGTGGGTGTTTTTGGTAAATCATGTATTTTGGAAATAAAAAAAATTAAAGATAAAGAAAATGATCTGGTACAGAAAAAGAATTTAAAAAAATAAGTGTGTAAATGATCGTGATACGAACCGCGGCCGTCTGTTTTGGGGCCGCCCGATTACCGAACGAGCTATTATAACATTTTTTTTTGCGGCGAAATTTACTGTCTTATTCGAATGATATTTTTCATTCCCTGAAAACAGGGACAAAAGGATATTTTCTAAAAATGAAACCGAGCTAGATCGATTTTTCGCCCCCGAATCTACGCACATACTAAATTTCATGAAAATCGCTGGAGTCGTTTCCGAGATTCCGACTAGATATATATATAATTATAAAAGAATTGCTCTTTTAAAGGATAAGATTACAAGTGAAATTTAAGTAGCCAATAAAAATATTTTGTTTCATTTTCAAACTTCGTTTGAACGAGACCTTTAATGGCTGTCATCTTCACAACTAGACACGCAAGGACGCATGTTATCTAGCGGGGAGTACCTCATTTCTTCTAAGTTTTTCTTCGTGATGGTAAATAACTTTTAAAATGATTCTGGTGTTGTTGGAAAGGATATTTAATCTAGTCTATTTTAATATTGTTAAAAAAGATGTAAAGTTCAAGGGTTTTAGTCAAATAAATGTTTTATTAAGAGATATCAGTTTTCATCAAAGGTTTAAAAGTTTCATATATTTTTTTTGAGTTGCAAATTAAAATTAAATTAACTCTTGATTTTTAGATAATTAGATTGGTTAGTTATTAACTGTGCTTCGTTTTTTGGGATAGTATTTGAAGTTTCGATCGCCAAGGTCGAAAGCGTATAATAACATCTCATTTATCGCGCTGGCGCTGGCGCCCGTCACCGATTTGACAACGCATGGCGCTGGCGTGCCAGCGGATAAATATAAATAATATAATATAAATATTTAGGACACATTTGTACACAACATTTTCTAGTCCCAAACTAAGCAAAGCTTGTACTATGGGTACTAGAAAACTGATAAACATACTTTTCTTTTGTAAATAAATACATATTATACATATAGAAACACCCAGACACTAGAAAAACACCATGTTCATCACACAATATTTTTCCAGTAGTGGGGATCGAACCCACACCCTCTGGCGCAGGAGGCAGGTACACTACCCACTACGCCATTCGGGTCGTCAAAATGAACTATAAATAAAAACTAGCGACCCGCCCCGGCTTCGTACGGGTGCAATGTATTATACATACATATAAACCTTCCTCTTGAATCACTCTATCTAAAAATCAAGATATAAGCATACATAAGGACAGACAGACAGCGGGAAGACTTTGTCTTATACTATGTAGTGATGCACTGCAAGTAAACGTTCACATTTCAAGTGACATGTGATGTGACATTTATACGATACTAAAGTCACTCAATTGTTTTGCCTTCCCAGAACACCTCCACTAACACTTAAACTTTATGGTGTGGTATTAAAGTTCAAATTGACTTTTAAGTGTTATTACGAATCTTTTGTATAGGAATATAGAAAATTGCTGTTTTTTAAATTTTTCTCTCCGTAAGAACCATCCCCTGACTTCAAAGAATATTATAAAAAAATAATTTGCGAAATCGGTTCACCTGTTCTCAAGATTTGCGCTTAGCAACATATTCAGCGATTCATTTTTATATAGAGAAAGATTAATAGAGAAAAAATGGAGTAAAATAATGAATGAAGAGTAGAATTCTGTTAATGAAATAAATATATTTTATCCTTGGGGGTGGCAACACAACGCTTTCATTGTTATTCTCTAGCACACTTGTGCAAATCCTCCGATCCACGCTCTTATACACCTTTACGCACAGAAAGCCGACACTAGTCCTCACATAATTTATCGCGATGTTTTACGGCGGCCCATGTATACTTTTTTTATTGGTTTGAACACACATGATTGATACCCAATAGGAAGAAGAAAATTAGCAATTGTACCATATACTAGCTTCACGCCCTACAATTTAAGAACAAAATTAAACATATGAATGAGCTTTAAATTTGTAACAGACCCTTGTAAATAATGGATTCCATTACGGTTATATGGCAGCTTAGCTTATCATACTGTTAGTGGTTATTAATATTGTTTTTAATAAAATGTGAATGTTTAGCCAATGAATACTGGGATTTTACAAAGCAAACGTGCAAATTGATGCAAGTATATAAGTTTATATTAGAAAATTGGAATATTTAAGTCATTTGTTTGTCCAGTCATTTAAATAATCTAAGATAACTAATTGCTTTTAAATACATTTATGTGTTTACTTTAATGTAACTATGTACATACTTGCAAGAATATAGCAAAAATAAAGAAATGATGTACTATTTTTACCTTCCTCAAATTGATAACCCGTTTCTGTTGAGTTAAGAACATATTAAACAATAAATAAATAAATAAGCTAAATGCAATTTTATGCTTATTTCAAATACATTTATTTATGTGAAAAGTTGGCAAGTGAGGAGGATGTTCAATTTATGTTAATTGATATGTACAACAGCTGATGAGTTGCAGATGCATTGCGAATTAAAATGTGAGCTCTGGTTACCTCACTCATTTTATTTTATTTTTTATTTATTTATTTAAGAAGGTTCAACTCTTCAAACGAAAATATAATATTTCCATTACTAGGAGAGATTATAATTTACAAAGAAATAAACAGTATTTTTCAATATTTTATACACTTTTTATCACAAAACTATGTCATGAATATTATTAGTATTAGCACATACAGTATCACAACTATACACATAGTAGAGTTGAAAATATTAAGTAAAGATAATATGAACAAATAATATAAAAGATGGATAGAAAAAAATATTTAAAAGGTAACAAATAGTCAATTAAATTTGTAGAAAAAGTACGAAAAGATTGTCACCGCTGTGGGAATCAAACTCACTTTTTCGGCATTTGCGGCCTGACGGTCTATTCCCAAGCGACAACTTTTCATACTTTTTCTACAAAGTTAATGTTCAATCTTAAAAAATAAAGTTCTAACAAATAGTCAAGAGAAATTGTGAGCCAAATTAATTTTGGCTGACAATCTGAAGACACACTGAGCAGAAATCTTAATAAACCATTCTTAATAAGCATTTCCCCATATAAGAGACAAATAAAGCTTTAAATCTGCAATTCTGTGATTACACACTTCTTTAATTTAAACAACAATTTTCTTTTGTATTTCTAAAACCCATGTTATTTATCTTGCTTAGCTTACATTAATTTAAAAACCTAATAAAAATTACCTAATGACATTAGTAAAACAAAAATTTAAGCGTTATAATTAGGTAAGGCCATTAACTTTCAGTTCACCCTGGGTTCAAGATTATATTGTAAGCTAGTAGTAGCCTCATAGATACAGGCATTGTGTTATATACATATAAGCATACCCTTTACTGTTTTATTGCCTTTGATGGTAGGTTATTTCTAAATATATTTTTCTTAATTTAAAAAAAAAATAATAAATTTAATATGGTTTCAATTAGATCCACACATAATCCACATATTTATTGGAACGAAACTGGTAAATCATATTTTTTGTGAATGGTATTCAGTGTTTTTATATAAAGCTTAATATTTTGAAATTGAATTTAAAACAGGAATTACATCTAATATAGTAACTATAAACCCACCTCTATAATCCGTAGAACTGCCAGGCTATCACTCAAAATATCCCGTGGCATTTCGGTCAGTCTTATGGCACATAATTTAATGCAACTTATTAATTTATAAAGTTAAATAATAACACCATCTTAAATATACATTGTATCTACAAGTTACTTCACATTGTTGTTGTCGGTCTGTAAAGAAAGAATTACTATAGGCTAAGATAAATACGAATAACGTTATCACATATAAAGTAAATAATAATACGACCAAAGATCGATTAGCGTCGAATAACAATGCTACTATAAATAGGATGCTATAATTATATGTACATAAATAGAAAACTAAAAAATTTAGAAGACAACATTTGTAAAATTTACTAATTTTGTATAGAACATTTTCTATCAATAACAGCAAATTAAATTAACGCAAAAGATTCTGCCTCTAATAGATTAATTATACGTACATTAAACGCTCTTTAATACATAGTAGCATAAATTGTTATACTTATCGCACCGCGTTATTGCCTTTCATATTATTTTAAAGTTGTTTTTAAGAACTTTTTTGGTTTTTTTTTCATATTCAGATGAGTGAGGTGATTACAAGATTCGGCAAATAATCAAGAGTTGAGACTTTGAGATTTACATTGAACATAGAATAGAAAGAGGGAGAAAACTTATTCGTTCAGAAAATGTATAATTTGTAATAAAACTCTATAGTCTATAATATACGGGCCGCGCAGACGATTAGGCCTGTAACTTAATTCAATATCTGTGGTTCTGTGGATTTGTGGAATTTTTTTGTTTATTATCATAAAATATACAAAAATAATCGTAATCAATCGTGCTTCACACACTCCTGTTTATACGCTATAAAAATAAAATCATTGACACAAAATGAGTAAGAGAAACAGCATTGTTGAAAAGTTCTTATAAGGTCTCTCTCTTTTGAAGGCACTCCCCGAGTCGATATATCGAGCGGCGTTCAATTTCACGGTTATTTTGAAGGAAAAGCCAAGCTAGCTACTAAAAAATTCGGTGTCCTAAGCCGAGCGAGACGCATCACATGGAATACTGTTCTCACCTCTGAGCATTCGCTTTCAACGAAGAGCTGCTCGAATCGTCAACGATCAAATCCTGTCCGATCGACTCGACTCTTTGTCCTTGCGAAGGAATGTTGCATACCTTTGCATTTTCTATCGTATATATAATGGGGAGTGCTCTGGAAATTTTTTTGGATTGATGCTGCACCTGCTGGTGAATTTCACCATCGTACAACTCGTCAAAAAGCCAAGTACCATCGTCACCACCTTGATGGTTGCTGGTCCACAACTGTAACGCACAGTTGTGGACCATATGACCAAATTTCTGATAGTGCAAGTTGCCAAAAGTTGAATGCCCTAATTATAACAGTCTTGTATTCTCTTTTCTATTGATTTACGTAAAGATTAGATGATATTTTGTTTTTAATGCGAAAAGTTGAAAAGCAAGCAGGCAATTTCAACAGCGTTTTCAAAAGTTCGCCCTGGTTACAACACTCACCCGATCAAACCTGAAAGTACTATACTTCCATTTCACTCCGTTTTTCAGGCTTTGGTACTTCCCCGTACGACACTGCCAGAGCTAAAGTAAAAGCTTGAGTGGCCTTACCCCAGTAATATACAGTTTTAGGAGATTAATTTAGAAGATGTTTTCTTTTTGCTCTCAAAACAATGTCTGGAAAAAGACGTCTATGAATGCCAAAGATAATTCAGATTATTTTTTATAGTGCTTATCTCTGCAATTAAATTTGTTGAAAAAAGTCGAAACGCTTTTAGCCGCTGCTAAAATCGAACTCACATTTTAGATGTTTTATCCACTGAGCTATGTTACTAATTCCCATACTGACGAAAATCTCATCAACTTTTATCTACATTGAAATATCCTATGGTATTTTAGAAAATACAAACATTTTCAAATATCGTTCTAAAACGATAATTCTAAAGAAAAATGTCGCCATCGCCATATGAATTTTCTTAGTGCTAATCTCTTGAGATGAAACTTGTTTAAAGTAGAAAGAAGGATGTACTAATTTAGGGCGCGAAAACGTGGATTCCATTCTCGCAACAGTGAAAAGTTTTCGAATTTTCTTTTACTAATAGTATTTCAGATTGATCTAATATTCAGAATATTCTTAACACATAATGTTTTTTTTTTATCAATATTAACAAAAAATAAATTTTAACAAATATCCAGTACAGAAACCTTTTGTCTACTTGAAGATATTAAAATATAACAGGGTTAATCCAAAGCTATGGTTAAAATTAGCTTCCGCTACAAGTGCTATTGTTTCACAACTTTTTATAGATTATATTACAAAATATAGCAATTTTTATAAAAAAATTAATCTAGTACAAAAGAATAATAGTTTTTTTAATTACTGTTATAATTAATTTTTAAAACAAGGCACTAGTAGTTTTCTTTTGCTATTTAGTTTTTAGTTTGATAATCTAGTAAACTGTTATGGCGTTTGTGTTCTGATACACAACGCATATTCATATCTGTATTGAACCGTATAAAATACATGTATCTTAATATGGTGAAATATTGGTAAAATTACGCAGTTTCTCGGAAAAAACGTTCTTCATTGAAATATAAAGCTCTCTATTAAAGGGAATCGTTTTTAGGTTATGTTTCCATCTTATATAGGTATTTTAGGTGGGTTTCAGTGAAACAGGATATCAATTACGTGTTTTTCTACAGGACTGTTCTGCATAAAGTGATGTCTGAATGAATTTCTCACGGTTTCTAGATATTCAGTCATGGTGGGAAGTGCCCAGTATCGCGTATTTTTGTTCCTTGTTCAGGACCGCATTCAATCTTCTAGATTTTGACATCGAAGTAAGTATTGACCGTACATCACACAACCATTCACATCCTTTTTGATTCCATTTATTAAAATATGTGACATCATGATTTTAACGATGAGGATGGTAATATTTTAGGAATTGGAAGAAGCTCTATTGACAGATGGCACAGAGGATTCTGCAAGTTCGCTCTTGACCGAATTGATAGTACGACTGTTGAACGGTTGTTTAGGCAACAATGATATCTCTGCATTTAATTATCAGGTGGATTAAGCTCAATTTCAATCTTATTAAATTTTCGATCTTCTTAAAGATAAATCTTGATTTTAGAATTTATTTAAATATTCGTTGTAGATGTATTTGAGACGCCTATTTAGGCGAAAATGTCAAGAAACTGGAAGATACAATCCTTTTAACACTGATATTGATTTTCAATTTCTACCCCTCCGCACTAAAGTTGAAATTCTGTATGCACTGTGTGACTTTCGTTTGGATGCTGAAGATGTTTTTGATTTATTTAAAAACTTGGAAGCAGAGAGTTTGAGGGTTGAACCACTTGGGTATGTTTATAAGTTTGTTTTGTATTTGTTAAAAAGTCTTAAATAGTTAAATTGAGTGGAATAAGCATCAGACCTTATAATTGGACAATAACAAATATTGCAGCTGGGATGATAATGATTCAACATATTGGTATTTTTATGGAACAAGATTATATCGTGAAGATTATTTAAAGAAACCAAAAGGTAAAAACAAGAAGAAAAAAAGCAAAGAGAGTAGAAAACGTGGGTGGTTCTATGGTGATGATTGGCTTGATGACGAAGAGACTGAAAGAGTGTGGCAAGTGGTGTGCTTTACTGAGGAAGACTGGACCCACCTGACAGAGAAGTTTAGTAAAGCAACCAGCAAGGTTGAGAAGGAACTGTTTCGATCACTCTCTCAGAATTTCTTGCCAGAGATACCAAGACTTTTCCAGGAAAAAGAGCGTCTTCAGCGAAAAAGGTATTTATTTACTATACAAATAATATAGGTTACTTTATAGTAAAATGAATAATATGTTTGTTTCCTTTTATGTTTAGATATATATTTGAAATTATAGTTTGTACTTTTTATCTATTTATTTTTATCTATCTATTTGTTTCATGTTTTTATACAGTTTTCAGAAATTGCGAATTTTATACTTAATAGTTTCTAGTTAAAATATGTAAAAATACCATACTTTTCAACATGAGCAATGGTGCAACAAGGCATTTTCACTATTCAACATACCCAAATAGCTCTGCGAATACTTAAAATGGGTTAACTTTGTCCTCACAATTTACATTATTACTTGTAACACATGTTAGGTATTCCAGTGCATCTCAAATAATTATGAAGACGTTTGAACTTAATGTGTATAATGTTTAGTACTAGAGTATCTTTACAACTTATGGATTTTATTGCATGTATTCTGAAAATTATGATTATATATATTTATTACAATTTTCAGAATATTTAGTGAAGAATGTCATTTTGAATTAATGTAAAATACAAGTGAAAAAATCCATAATTCTTATCCATTGGAGAACTTAAATTGTATAAACTTTTTTTATTCTTATGTGCTTAAGTAGGCCCTATGGAATCCATAAGCAAAATTCATATGCTGGAAATGTAATAAGTTCTTCTAATTTCTTCCATACCAGTTTCTGTTGAGAGCTATGATAGCTCAGTGTCCCTATCAAGAAATCTGAGTTCAATTCCACAACACCATCACAATTTCGTATTTTATATAAAGAGATTACAATTGCCACCCAATGTCTATTTGCAACACCTGTAGGGTTGCACCATGTGTCCTATACCTACCACCTTTATTATAGTGGACCCTGGATACCTTTGGATTTTTAACAAAATGCAGAAGTATATCTATTCCCCTTCACAATGGTGTTCTGTGAGGTTGTGGTACTTCCCAGGATGGACCTGCCCATTCATGCAATTGTGTGGCCCGAACAAAACTAAATGAAATTGCTTGTTGTAATTTTAAATGCTGTTTTATTACATTTTTGGCGGTTAAAGAAACATTTATTACATTTTTGGTGAAAGAAAACATTGTGAGGAAACCTGCATATTTTTAAAGTCATTGAACAGAAATCTGCTAATCCGCAATGGGGTAGCATTGTGGACTGCCCTAATACCCTCTGGGTGGAGGAAGCCTTTGCCTAGCAATGGGAATTGTATAGTCTGTTACTTTACTTTATATTGGTTTCCACAGATCAAATATGGTATTTTTCTGCAGGTGACAAATATTATGTTTATTATATAGCTAGAAAATTTCTATTTTCATAGCCTCTTCAAGTCTTAAAAGCATTAAATATTGTAAATCATGTGTAAAAGAGAAATGAATCTGCTTTGCTATTTAATAATGGTTAATAATCAGTTGAGAGTAAAGTTCATGGCTATTTATAAATATCATGGCATTGTTTACGGTCTAATAGTTGAGATATGTATGAATTATCAAAGTATGAGTAATGTATTAGAAATAATATCAAATTGTAATAGATAACATAAAAATAACATATTTTGCAAAGTATGCGAATTTGTTAGTCTTATTTATTATTTAGTCTTACAAACTTTCTTGGAAATATTTTTATGTTCTTAAACATATATTGGGCAAGGCTTTCAAGATTGATTTTTGAAGAAGTAACTTATCCGAGCGGTACTTTATCCGATGTACCTGGGCACGATCTTGCGCTTGCTTTGCGTTTGATATTACGGCGTGATGCCTTTTTCTGTTTTTGTATCGATTGTTTGTGTATTGCATGTACTGAGATGCAATGACTTAACCTGTGCGTGTGGTTGCATTGAAGGCTGCTGGAGCTGGCCCCGCGGCGCACGTCCAGCCGCGTGTTGCAGAAGATCAAGCAGAAGGAGGAGGAGCGCAAGCGCAGCGCTCATGACCACGCACACCTCCGCAATAGGAAGCGGTCGCCGGACCTCGCCCGGGATCATAGAGCACGGAGGAGAGAGCTGCTGAGGTTACTTGTGTTTTTGACAATAAGGGAAAGCTGACGGAAAAGGGGGTGTTCATTAAAAGTGTACCTTTGTTACACATTTTATTATTCCCCCAAAATGAAGTGCTCATTGTGAATCATTTCACTGAACGAATCAGTGCAATTAAATGTGCTAATTGTTCATATTTTATGTAGTGCATCTACAATGTAAGTCCAGAATCTTTCTAGCTCTACTTGAAAAATATATATATATATCTATATCCCACTTATTTGCTAAAAGGAAGTGATGCGAACCAATTAACACTACTTTTACGAACCTGTGTCTGTTATCGCCGCACTTAATGCAATCCAAAGAACTTCAATGGATAAACTTCATGTAGCCTTGCTGTTATTTTACTTGCAAAGTAATGTTTACTTTTAAAACGGAATTAAAAGTTAAGAGAAAATTAATTCAATATATTTCACATAGAAAATTGAAAAAATATTTTAAAGTAAATCAAAAAATCTTTTTAAAATACTTTCAATGCTCTTTTGTCATTTTCATGTTTTGTTTCTATTTATGTGTTGATTCAATCCACATTTTTAAAATGTATGTCACCGCGTCAACGGAGTTACGCAGTTTCATAAAAGGTTATCTGAATTAAGCGGACTTGGCGTTGGGTGATGAGTATCGAGACGTAACTAGTGTAGTTTTGAGACGGTCTATTGGGCGTTGTCGTGAAGAAGAAGAAGAACTCGAGTGCAATAAGCAATTAACTAATTTAGATTGTTTGACAGCCAGCTCCTATGCTCCTGTACATACAATACACGCTGATCTGTCCATCATACTAATACATGCACACGGCTCCTGTTCGGCGTCTTTTCCCGGGGCTTTATTAATAAATAATAGCTAATTGGTAAAAATTACGTCTAAATTGGTTAAAATATTACGGTACTTGCGTTACTTTACATCTAAGACATTGCCGTTTTGTATGAAATAAGTCAGTATTTTTTTTTATTTCTGTTATTGAAGTAATCACGCATGCAATTGATGCATCTTTGCCAACGCAGTGGTAGGTTATTGATGCCCTTCCTTAAAAATAGTAGTGGAAAAAGTAATAGTCGATGGAGAAGGTAGTACTCTTGCAGCTTGGGGACTGTCTGTTGTGCAGTATGTGCACTAGGTGTCGCGCGTTGTCGCGAAGGAGCAGCGGGGAAGATCGATTGACCAAAGCTGGTTGGAGATGTGCGAGCCCTCTCCATTAGAACTGAAGACAATGTATTGTTCTTATAGAGATATCTTAATTTTTTATAATTACATAATTTTTTATAGTATTCGTTATGACGAAAAAGGTTCGAATGTAATGAAAATACAAAGCTAATCGAAAACATAAGATTTATTTTGTAAAAAGAATTTCATGTTTTTAAACAAAATTAATATAAATTTTGAATTCACAGCCAATCAAAACTTGTTATATAGTTCAATTTGAGTTTGAAATATAAAAATAAGAATAAATTTTCAAGAAATACACGCTTGATATAAATACTAGGAACAAACATAAATTAATTCTATCCACTACAAGACTGCATAGCATGTGTAATTATTTTATGGGACAATGTATAAGTATTTACAACATAATTTTGAAAAAAAAAAACCGACTTCAAACAGGGAACTAAAAGCATTTTCAACATAACCTGTAATATTTGAGCATTGCGCTCGATTTCTCTAGGATGCCATCATCAGATCTGGGTTTCCTTATCATGGTACCACCCTTGGGACATCTCATTTCCAAAAAAAAATAATCATCAATATCGAATTCATAAATGACGAAGGTATCCCCGAACACACATAAAAAAAATAAAAATATTTACGGTCGAATCAAACCTCCTCCTTTTTTGAAGTCGGTTAAAAACACAGTAAATGTTCAAAATGTATCAATTTCTAGATTCAAAAAAGTATAAAGGAATGTTTGTGTTATAAATATTAGTGGGTATTTATTAAATGATAACACAGTGTAAATTAATTAGCCACTCCAGGCTCTTCCAAGTGGACGGACTTTAATATGTTGTAAACATGTTGTCACTGCTAAAAAAAAAATATATTGCTGGACAATCAGTGTCTGGCCGATTTGCCTCAGTTCAGAGGCTTTTTTCAGAACCGGTATTAGTACTTTGACGATCAATAGATAAGTAATACTTTCATATTGAATAAAAATATTAGAATTTCATAGGATCAAATTGCTAGTCATTCGCTAAACGGATGAATTACATAGTCCAATTTTAGTCATTCGATTATCGGATGAATAAAATGTGTTAGTCGTCCGACTATCGGATTATTATACATATAACCTTTTTAGACTGAAGCTAGTTGTACGGCAAGATTATTGATTAGAAAAATGTTGTACAATGTTTGTGTGTGGCTCTGGAGCTGCAGATGTTATTTACTGAGGGTTCTTATAGCTCTTTTCGTTCGTACAGTCCAGGGACTTGCATGGTTATGTTGCACTTGGCCGTTGGTAAGAACTCGTAATATTATTTTGGGTTTAAAAAAAGTTACTACAACCAAAAATCTTTAGATGTTAGATCCTGTCCATTTTCGTTTACTACCACTATTTTTGCGTAACCACTATATTATTATTATTAACGCACTATGGTGTTGTTTGTGCTGAAGTTCTGTCCACTCTTGTTATAGTGGACTGACTGATGTTTTGAAACTTCCCGTAGGTCCAAATCGGAGACATCGGACTCCTCGGAGGAGAGCTCAGAAGGCGAGAAGGAAGAGATGCCCCAAAAGGTCTCAAAGCGGGCCAAGGTATCGGCGAAGCGCTCCAAGAGCTCGGGCGCCACGCAGAAGGGCGAGCCGCCGCCGGAGCCCTCGGAGCCTTCGGAGCCCTCGGAGCCCTCGGAGCCCTCGGAGCCGCCGGTGCGCACCGGCCGCAAGACGAACAACTCGCTCGCCTGTGCCACCGGACAGATCCTCATACCGGACTGCGACGAGCCGCCCACCGGCACCAGGAAGAAATTGAAAACATCGCAGATGTTAGTGCCTATCTAACACATAGACCAGTTGAACAAACGGTGGCCACGTCAATATACAATGTTTCTATTATAACTATTCTTATCATTAAACTCTGGATTTTGGTATTTTAAAGGATTTACTAAATTAAAATTTGTTTGGTTTTGGCCATTTTGTATGTTCTGTTCATTACAGATTCGGCCAAAGCGATGAAGATGTGCAGATCGACATGTACAAGGTACTCGAGCAGCTGACCGCGCACGACGACGCGTGGCCTTTCATGGACCCCGTGGAGGAGGAGTACGCGCCCAACTACTACGCGGTGATAAGGCGGCCCATGGACCTGCGCAAGATGGAGGAAAGGCTCGACGCCGGCCACTACACGGACTTCGAAATGTTCAAGGCCGACTTCAAGCTGATCGTGAACAATTGCCGCCTGTACAACGGACAGGACAACGGTGAGGGCGCGCCCTTCCCTTAAACACCGCATATTACGCTGCAGAGTGCAGAGCTACCTTGGTAATGGTGATATTCGCTGGCGGATATTATATGTCGAGTTGGCCGGATTACTAGTAGAGTATGAAATAATACATACAATACAGTATACTTGACATTATTTCATAATAGCATTACTTTAAACATAATTCATTATTTCTGAATAAAATAAAGAATACATGAAATATTCGTGAGTTATTTGAAATGGAATGGAATGGAAACTTTTGGCCCAATTATTTGCGCCTAATTGCGCTTCTATAAAATTTACGAGCGCGTGCCAATGTTAGAGCTCACAGATATGGTATAAAAATATGAACCTATGTACAGCTCTACCTGACTACAGTGTTAGTTCAGAGCTGGTGGCCATTGAAATTTAAACATAACATGTTATTAATTTACTGGTGTAGTTAAATAGACCTTTCACCCAAATCCACTGTACAAATTGTAAAAAATTTCATTAATTACCATTGATATATTAATGGGTCAATCATTTAACGTTGTACATTTCTTGTCGTCCGGATAGAATACACTACGATGGTGGACAACTTGCAAGCGGCTTTCGACCGTCTCACCGAGAAGTACATTCCCCGCGTGTCGTCCTCGGACGAGGAGATCGCGGTGGAGTACCAGCTGCCGACGCCCTCGCGCAAGCACAAGCTCAAGCCGAGCGAATCGCCCGTTCGCCACAAGAAGCAAAGGAGGAACACCCACACCGAGACGGGTATTTTTTCTTTATCTCACTATTACAGGGTTTTGTTATTTTGCTTTTTTTCATTAGTCAAGTACGCTAATCGCGCTATAAGTGAAACTCCGGATTAGTTTAAGCATGCTGCTGCATAGTACCTACGAGAGATTGAGATTATTATAGCATAACGTGAGGCTTATTAAGTTATTGCATAGCTTTTATCGCGGGCTTTGAGCGCGGCGACCAATCGGCGAATCAAGAAATTCCGTATCGAAAATAAAACCTAACACCCCCCACTCCGCCTACCATGTAACTCGGCCGAGCGTTCTCTTAACTTGTGTGTCTGAACGAAGCTCGCACGAATGGTTATTATAATATTATATTTTAAACGACATTAACTTCTCATTTATTCAATAAAAAAAATTGTAAAAAAAGAAAATTGTAAAAAAAATTGTAAAAATAGAAAAAAAATCGAATTAATATCAAAGAAAAAAAATATAATTGCATAATTCAATAAAAATGCTATGCAATAGCTTTGCCGCGGCAGTCCCCGAGTGCCACAGGTTTTTTTTAATAGTATTTGTACTAAGTTTAAAAGTCATCTTAATGTTGATGATGTTTCTGATTTTAGTAATATTGGATTCTGTTATAGCTATAAATGTCCAGATAAAATATATTTTTACAGGATAACATGTTGTTCACGATTTATAGAGCTTTATATATTTGGCTTCGAGACCTGTGAGATTACAAAAACTTTCAACAGAATATTTTATTTACCTAATTGAGCTTAATAAATAATTTGATCGTACTTTTTATGTACTTAAAATTACAATACAACGACATAATAATAGTTCCCCTACTATTCTGCCAGCATGCTAAATGTGTTTTTATTTCCTACCCTTTCAAGACCTAAGGAATCGTGAATATTCCATATTAAAAAGAAAAAAGTTTATATGATGTATCTCTAGTTTGAGGTGGCGGTAAAAAGAGGTGGAAATTGGAAAAAAAAAATTTTACTCGAGCTTGTCAGAAGTTCAAGAGGATGTTAAGTGAATCCTAAAAAATTTCCTATTATAAAGACTGACGATTTGAACGTGACTGACGATTGAAATTCACAGGCGATTTTTCAGAATGCAAAAAAAAATCGTGACATTGAAATACTCGAGCGCATCAGATTTTTATACAGACGGTTTAGCTTGATGCACTGTTCATATTCTGACAATTTTGTGAAGTGATTTTTTAAATCTGACAATTGAATAAAAATTTATTCGTTTTTCTAGTTTTTCTCCACAAATACACAACATTTGTTATTATCACTATCGTCACTAATTATGTTAACATATACATTAAACTCACTGCATTTAATTCATAAAATACCTTGTGAAAACACAAGAAACAAAATGAAGCATTGTACATAGACGCGTTGTTGTGATATGATGTTGTGATCAACTGTGATGGCATCATGGCGCCAGAGAGTTGTGTAGTAGTGCGAGAGAGTAAGACATAGAGAAAGAGTGAGAAAGGAAGAATGGTGTTGGGGAAATACATAGTTCTCTGTAGTTGTAAACACTAACCTCTATTGATAATTTTAGATAGTTGTGCTTAAGAAAACCGGCAGATTATGTTATTCCTATAATTATTAAATATTTTTCTTTTAAAAGAAAAAATAAACCGCGCTGGAACATTTCGAGGTTATGATTTTTTTTTGCAACTTTGCAACTCGCTTATTTTTTTGTCATGTTTAAATCGTGAGATTATTATAGAGATTATATTTTTTTGGAATTTTGGATTGGATTGGTGGAAGTTCATAACAAGGTACAAGGTTTATTTTCTTATATTAAACTGTCGGGCTCAAGTTACTTCCAAAATCCCCGCTTAGGCTTGAAATTATTATTTTATTAACAGATTTGAACAATTTATTTAAAAACCAATGAACCTTTTTTTTTTACTTTACTTGATACTGGGCAATGGGATGTACAGTAGCCAGTTGGTCTGATTCCTAAAGTTGGATTGAGGACATATATATATGTATAACATAAGCAAATATTTCTAAAATTCGCCCCATATTAAATATTATTCAGTTTCCTGTTCAGACTTATGGTAACCAAAATATGAAACAAATGTTTTACTTAAAATTTTATCTTTCTATATTCGCGACTCCTTGCAACATCAGTGTTTGCCATTAATAAAGATATTCAAAGAAATAAAATATACACTACACCACCGCGCTGGCTTTTTACTCAAGCTTTCAATATTATGCAGGCCACCAAGAAAACATCAATTTTATTTTAATTAAAAATAAAACAATTGAAAGTAAAAGAAAATAGTTCTCATCAAATATAAGTGTTAAACATATGTGTATCGAATTATCTTTTTAATTTTTAATTGTTCTCATTGCAGTTGAACCAAAATCAAGTTCGTCTGAGAAGTTAATAGAGCAAGAAAAGGAAGAGGAACAACAAGAAGAAGAGACACCAGAACCAAGTGAAAAGAAAAAGTCAAAAGAATCTCATAGAAGTAAACAGGGTAAAGAAAAAAAGAAACGGAAGGGTCATCATCGACATGGAAAACATTCCAAAAATCATAAGAAAAATTCACATAAATCTGAGCATGGGTCTAAAAGCAAGCACGGTAAAAAGCAGAAGCATGCCAAAAATAAAGATAGGGAAGGGAAAAAGTCGAAGAAAAAGAAAAATAAGCATCAAGAGCCAGAACCCGTGGTGGAACTGATTCAACGCAGTGAGTCGCAGGAGTCCCTGGAGAGCTCCAGCCGGAGCCGCAGCGCAAGCCCGCTGCCGTCCATCCGCACGCCGACGCCCTCGCCCACGGAGCTGGACCACGTGGACCACGTGGACAGCTTGGACAGCCGGGATAGTAGACACCTCCTCGAGGACCAAGAGCCGCATGACCGCCACCCACATGAGCAGCCCGATCAACTGGCCGACCCGGACTTCTATAAAGACAAATATGATAAAATCAAAGAGAGGAGGCGGCATGCTGCTAAAGACGCATGGGATTCACTTTTTGACAACAAACAAAAAGTAGAAGACAAACCAAAACAAAATTTGCGCATCCCTGAGAAGGAGAAAAATCAAAAGCTAAGAGAGACTATCGAAAAACTTAAGGCAAAACATGAGAAATTCAAAGAGACTTCATTATTTAACAGTTTGTTTTCATCACTGCAGAACGGGGCGGACAAAAGTTCCGACTCAAATACAAGAGACTCGAGGGACTCTGACAAAGGCGACGATGAGGACGAAGCAAACCCTGATTTTTCGGATGACGACGACGATGTCCTTGACAAACCTACTAATAAGAAAGGAAAAAAGAAGAACACCGCCCGAAATGAATCGGCTTCAGTTGCTTTGGAGCAAGCTGTCAAAGACATAAGCAAGTGGTTAGATGACGCTCCGAAAGTTTTTATTGCAAGTTCCCCATCTGACAGTCCAGCACAAACAATATCTACTGAAGACGCGGATAACAGTCGCCAAGATGACGATTCATCACAAGGCGAGAAGCCTTTGCAAACGAAAAAGGAAATAACTCGCAAGAGACCTTCCTCATTGGAACCGAAACGAATAAAACGAAGAGAAATACAAAGGACAATTGACAGATTGCAACCAGGAAAGAGTAAGGGGAACTTATTGACTAATTTAACTAATAAAAACTCTGAAAAACTTGAGGAGTCGGCTCCTGTAAATGTCAATAAAAGGGAAGTGAAAATCGATGAATCGAGCCCGAAGCTGAGCCTCGGATCAGTTTTGCCCTCTGTTGATTTCACCCTCGGCAGTGACCATAATTTCTCGAACGACGACGAGAGAGTCGATGACGGTAAAGAAACTGCCTCGACAACATCAATGGCGAAACCGATCGCGGAAGTATTAAAAAGTGATAACAAAAAGGAGGAGAAACAGCCACCTCCGACGAAGAGAGACGCGGAGGTCGAAACTGAACCGACAATGCCACTAAAACCCAATCAAGAGAGAGCGACGCCCAATTTGAGCGCTTGGTTCAAAGCATTCGGCGCACCTAAAAATACGAGCTCGACTTTAACAACAAAGAAGAAAGGCGCAGACGTCGAGCCTGAAGAGAAAATTCAGGAAGTGTCTGCGACCGTTGATAGTAAGTTGGCCAGTGCTAAACATGGTGTTAAATTGGACTCGGCTAGCGGGCCAGAGACACCCAATCCAGAGAGAGGCGAAAGCCCACTGCCCAGCGCGACAGCCACCCCGATGCAGCGGCGCACCAGCACCGGCAGCTCTGTGTCGGAGCGTTCTTCCTTCAGCCAAGACCTAGACTCGCCACGACATCTGATGTCCCATAATTCCCCTCTACTGCAATCTCCCGCGTCCCCAAGAGTTGATGATTTTCAAAAGATATCCTACCCCATCATAAACGGAACCGTTAGGGCTGGCTTTTACCAAGACACGACGTCCGTCAAGAGCAGTCCAGAGAAGAGCAGCAGCCCACGTGAAATGCCACAATCACCGTATTCACCATACTCTCAACATGTGTACATATCAAATAGCGCAACGGGTTCAGCAACGCCAAACTATTTCGTTGATCACAATAAGAGCCCTCTGCCAACATATGGTCAAAATGTTCCTTCATATTATGATTCATCAAAAGCTCCTGTCGTTGACAAGCCGATTCGTCCACACGATGATTATAATACGCCTTTGGCACCAGAACCATACCAGCAGAACCAATATAATAGCGCATATTCAGCGACTACGCCACGGTATCCGCCGGCTAAGAACTATCCACAATCCCAGATTTCGCCGCAGCCGGATTCGGTGATTGCTAACCCTGTACCAAGTGCTTCTGCTAATAATTCAGACCCTAAAGCAACGCACTTCCCGGTCAAGAAACGAACCTACAATGAGCCTGAACAACTTACCAAAAAGCCTATAGACCCAAAGAATATGTCTCCTGTGCTGTCGAAGAACGATTACCAAAAATTACCGCTGTCTGCGCATCAGATGCCTGTGATATCTACTGCGTCCGTCGACGATATAGCTTTGGCATTAAGTGAAAAATCTGATATGATTAAACTTAATAGTTTACGGGAGAAAGGTGCCGTAGAATACGTTGATAGGCATCTCGCTGAGAACAGAAACGTATATGAAACAAGTGACCATCTTGTCCCAGAGGGCAAAAAAGACGTCGCTATTTCGGATTCGAACAAGTCTATAAGTATGATGAAAGCAGATAATGTCGATATGATTAATATGGGCTATATGAACCCAGAACACGACAGGCGAAATGGCAATGAAATGCACCACGATATAGATTTTGCAAAACCCAGTGCAATAAATCTCGGAATGAACAATCACCAGGCGAAATGTGCTATGGGCGCTAGCAACATGATTCCAGCGCATTCCCATGAGAGGCAGCTCCCTGAGATGAGCATCGGCCAAAACATTCCTCTCGCCCACCACAATCCCTACGAATCCAGTACGTTCTCTCTCAATGACATTGAGTTGGCTAACAAAAAGTTGTACGCTTGCAACAGCACCCCGGCGACTGCCGCAATCGATTACGGAAATTGGAAAGTTACGAATCAGGTACGAAAGTCTGATATCATGCCGTCGGATTATTCTACCACATACAGCTCGAGCAACGATGAAAAACAAAAAACGGAAATAAACGTGACCAACTCAGCCGCTATCAACTACAATAAGAATCTACAACAGCAACAGTATAATGCATACAACAATGTACCACGGGCTAGCCTTCAGCGTTCCCAGGAGATGCAGCAAAGCCTTGCGGCTGAATTGCGAATACCGAACCCACGTGGCTTACTTAAGAACGAACACGTGGGCGTGTCGCAGGCGACCGGCGACAGCGACTCCATTGCCAAGAATATCGATGCCGTTGGAAAATCACAAAAAAGTGAGAAGATCGTACAGAACCATTCACTTGCCTCGTCAATTCCCTATAAAAATCCGTACAACGCCCATTCGACCATTCCCCTGGACACATTAAGGAGTTTACCTAGCATTCCTCAGATGCTAGAGCGATATACGAATGATGAGAGATATCTCTCAAGTTTTGCTACGTCTAGCGCACAATTATATCATGACAAATCTTTTCAGATGTTTAACAAAACCTTGCCATCGGAAGGCATACCCATAAGCACTTCCGTAAGCGTATACTCACAGCCATCGCCTTCGATCAGTAAGGAAAGTGGTATGTATAAAACATCAAATATTGCCGCCAATCAAACGGATACAAAACCAAAGGCCAAACGCAAAAGGATGACAGAGAACAAATCTACTTCAATGTCCGGGGGCCAAGCCTACCACACTTCCCCGTGCAGCACTGACATGCTGAACCCCGTCAAATCGAACATGATGCCACCGAGCGCGTTTAATTTCGGTACCAGTACAAATATGGCCCTCGGGGGCGCGCTTTACGGGGACAACGGCGCGTTCTCTATCGAGGACTTCCGCAACAGCACGAATCAACTGATGGCCGCGAATTATATGGCGGCGGCCGTAGCGCACCAACACCAGCAGCAGCAGCAGAGGAGCGGCGCCGAGGCCAGCGCCGAGAAGCTGGTGAAGCCTGCACACCAGGGCTCGGGCCACGGCGGCGGTTCGTTTCCGTTCATCGGCGGGCACGGGCAGGTGCGCGCCGGCTACCCGTTCGTGGGCGCGGACCCCTCCTCGCCCCTCTACCAGCAGTACCTGCAGCGCCACCAGGAGGAGCTGCTGCGCCAGACGGGCGCGCAGATCATGAGCCTCTACTCGCCCGCATACCCGGCCGCCCTCGGCGTGCGCCCGCCGCCCTACGACGCCATCAACCGCCACACGTGGCTCTGAAATTGGCCGACTTCCACGTACCCATGGTATTGGAATTATCTATGAATGTCACAACTGATTTAGGACATTGTATCTGTATTGTTCGTAGAAGATAGCATCTTGTGACCATTCTTTATGAATATTATATTACTTAATCGATATTGCTTACGATCATGACAAATCGTATTAACTGAATAATAGGTGTATGTATATTGGGCTTGTCTTGTATCCTCGATGTTAACCCGCCATTGAATATTGCCCCTTATTCCCAAGTCGACATTATCGACCGCTTATTAACGTAGATGTTACTTGTCCGGAAAAATATATAAAAGCATCTTACTTATATGTCTATGGTTAGAATAAGAGCCCACATAGCCTTTCTTTTAACATATTACTAACTAAAAATATCTTCTGAAGAAAAAAATTGCAGTTTTCGTCGCGTCAACTGCACATCGTCAAGGTGATACTGATTTTTATTATTTCTTTTTTTTTGCGTTAAGTTTCATAGACTTCTGAGCTCAGCTTTAATTTTATACTGAACATACTACTTTTGAGGTCACAGAAAACTCTTTGTTATTTGATCATTTTAAATTTTATGTTACTATATAATTAATACATTACATTGTTATGTAAATACTTATCTAACTTGTTTACGTACAATTTTTTACATATAGACTTCCCATAAGTAAGATTAATTTTAAACTACTCTTGAAAATAGAATTATTAGATTCATGTAAGGTATATATAATTCTCTTCTTATGTAAAAATGAAAATAAAGATTTACAAAATGCAGTTGTTCCTAACTCAAAATTATAAGTCCTGAATTGTGATATGTCCCTGTAAACGTGTAGCATTACACTAGGATTTTGAAGATGTGCTGTTAACTAATATTAGCTTAAAGTGAATGTCTTTTGCTACTATAAATTGAGATATAAACTATCCTATCTCTCAAGTTGGATCAAACTACACATAGTGTGCATAACTTGATTATTATCAGTTCAGTAGTTTAGTTTAGTTCATCCCGGACAAACGTGACAAGAAATTTTTATGTATATAAAAACGGCACCTTCGTGCGCGAGCCCGACCTGCACTTGGGTGGTTGAAAAGGGGCTCTCTAGAAATATTTGTAACGCGCCAATCCGGCCGAATATCGGATAACCCGCCTTTCCCGCTGGAAATCGGGTAACGCGCCTTTCCGGCCAAATACCGTAAACGCGCCTATTCGGGCAGATACCGGATGGCGCGCCTGTTCGGACATATATCGGATAAAGCGTGTATCCAGTTGAATAGCGGGTAATGCGCGTATCCGGGCGGATACCGGGTTAAAATATATACAGCGTGTCTTTACAATCATGACAATAAATTAACATACGTATTGAGGATAAATTTTTAAAATTTTACTAAACATTTACATTCTTTAAACATAAATATTTACAAAGTTATAAAATTTTCCAAAACAACGAATTTTAGAACACCCTTACCTATAAAACTGTAACATAAAGTTCATTTGTAAAGGTCACAAAGCACATGAATGGGTTGAATGAATTTGAAAGAGACAAAACATACTGTTAGAAGGAGAGGCTTGTAATGCGACGCTGTGGCAACGAATGAAAAAGTCTCTGAATTTATGAATCACTTAGTTGAGTCAGTTGTACTTGTATAGGTGTTACAAATTTTGTTTCTTTTTTACTTAATTAGTTTGAAAAATATTTTTTTTAGATATGTATTTATTTACGTTAACGTTTTTTATGATTATTGGCAAGTAGTGTTAGACGTGTGTTCATTTATTGACGCGTTTGAAGACACGCTGTATATATATTTTACAAATTATTTGGAATAATCAATGAATACTATTATGGGTGCCTTAGCATTATCTGCCAACTAAGGATAAGGAACACAATTGAAGTTCTAAGTGGACAAATGTGTTAAGCAATAATTAAAAAATCCTACTTTTTTGCATGAACATTTTATTTTCGTGGTACTATATACCCTTTGTGGGTGTTAATGTTTTAACTGATGATGAATTGATTTATGACTTTATGAGCTTAAAATATGTCAATTCTAATGCGTTACATGGTTGCAGTTAGCAAAGGGGTAAACTGCCAATCATTTGTATATTTCAGATATGCAAATGTATTATACAGCGTGTAGTTACCATCGCGACAATAAATGAACACACGTCTAACGCTACTTGCCAATAATCATAAAAAATATTAACGTTAAACAAAATCCATAATTAAAAAAAAATATTTTTCGAAAAAACTAATTAAGTAAAACAGAAACAAAATTTGTAACATCCTATACAACTCGCGCCACAGCGTCGTATTACAAGCCTCTCCTTCTAACAGTATGTTTTGTCTCTTTTAAATTCATTCAACCCATTCATATGCTTTGTGACCTTTACAAATGAACTTTACGTTACGCTTTTATAGGTAAGGATGTTCTAAAATTCTTTGTTTTGGAAAATTTAATAACTCTGTAAATATTGATGTTTAAAAAATGTAAATGTTTAATACGACTTTAAAAAGTTATCCCCTATCTATATGTGTGTTCATTTATTGTCGCGATGGTAACGACACGCTGTATATCAGCAATCAACAGATATTTTCGGTGAATCATCAACACTGTGGTAGGGCCACGCAACAGTTCAAAGAGTACTTTTATATATCTGAAACAGTTTTCACAGTTTCAACAGTTTTCACAGTTTCAACAGTTTTTACAGTTTCAACAGTTTTCACTGTTGCATGAATGGGCAGGTCCGTCCGAGTAAGTACCAAGACCTCACAGAAGACCGGCATACAGTAGAAGTGTTACACTTCTGCGTTACGTCTGGTGAGTGAGGCAGGCGGGGCCCACTTTATTTAAGGGTTGCCTACGAGTATTACAAATGTCCATGGGCGGCGGTTATTACTTAACATCAGGTGGGTACCGCATCCGGTTTAGACAATTATCACAAAAGCAAATTATACAGGGTCTATGGCTTGGGTCCTTGTGAGTCACTGTGGCATTTTTGAGCAAATAAACGTTTTAACGCTCCCATCGCTGTACATACTCGAGAACATCACATATTTATGTAATAAAATCCACTTTTTTGCAAAAAAATATTCCACATCTCGTGTGGACACTGGAAGTACCGATGTACAGACTGGCTAAAACCAGAAAGTTTCTTGGTAGATGCATTAGCTTTTATAATAAAATAGGCGACATCAACAAACGACTAAGTATAAACAATTTCAAAAATTGTGTAAAAGCTACCCTAACGGCAAGGGCTTCTAATATTGAAGAATACCGTGAGGACAAGGATATGTGGAAATGATTTGCTCTTCATTTACAAGTCCCCTGGCTACTGCTGATTTTAAACCTAAACAAGTTTCAAGTTTGTATAATTGTACCACTAAAAAAAAAAGAACATGACAGTATCAGAATTTCTTGCCGGTTCTTCTCTGGACAGGTCTAGTTTATGAACCAGTGGTAAATTTTTGATGTTCAAAAAGAGCTTAAATTAAGCCAAACTTCTAATTCAGCCTGTAACCAGGCCCGTATTTTTGATAAACCAGAACTTCTTCGCTCAATTTCATTTTTATTGAAGTACTTTTTTAAAAGCAGCAATTTGTTGTAATTGGCGGCCGAATATCCTGCGAAACGATGACAAGGTTTGGGCGATTGGCGAATTCCAGGTCCAACTCCAGAAATTAATTTGATCATATTAGATTTAGTATTATTATAACCTTTTTAGCTCTTTTAAAAAAATAAATTTGATACTAATTTACTTTTTCGTTCAAACCAAATATTCAATGAAAGTGCTCAAATTAACCCACGTACCAACATTGTCTCCACAGAAGTGTATAGTAGTAGTGTTTTTTGTTAAATTTTATTTTCAGTAACCAATATTGCTTATGAAGAAAATCTCAATTGTTTACTACCATGCGTTTTCACATGACTTTGACCGAACATCAAACAATAAAGTATAAGCCCATAAGCACAGCTTGTTGTTAAGAACCTTGAAGCAAATGGCTCCAACTAGTTCATGGGTGAATACCGGATGGGTGAATACATGGGTGATTTTTACCTTTCTAACATTTTGATCTTAGATAAACTACATAAGTAACATAATTGGATACAAGCAATATTTTATCATTGATATAACTACTAGTTGTTAGTCTGTCAATGTTTTTGCAGTATAATTGAGTCTGAATACAATCATATGATGGATAAAGAGTGAATACTGATATTCTAAACAAACATATTTTATCAGAATTTTATATAGTATAATTTTTACAAACATTTTTGTATATTATTTATGATGCAATGTTCTTCTGTCCAATATAATAATAAAAAATTTGTCCCTCTTTTCATGAGATATACCATTGTTGACCCATAATTAAATGAAACTATTATTTATTATTTCTTTCAAGAATTGCTTTTACCTGTACAAGATATTTTACCAAAATGTTGAAAAGATATGATTTAAATTTCAATTAATAATTATCATTGGGGGATATTCATTTTTCTCGTCTGCTTGGGTTTATAAATAAAAATATAGATATATATTGCATGTATAAAATAAATATTATGGATAAAAATAAACATATACACATAAATATTTTATATAATACATATATAAATAGGACCCAACCAGACGGAAGCCCTCGGCAGTGGAGACCAAACGGCCGAGGGTTAGGGCGAAAGGGAGAGAAACCGGCGGACGATGCGGGCGGTATCGAAGAGCACCGCTTTCTGCATTTGAGCTTGGAGTGATCTGTTCCAGAGTCCCAGTCGCCTCAGATGTTTAGAGAGGTTGACTGGGATTAACCCATTGGCAGAAACGACTATCGGGATAATTTCGGTCGACACACGACCCCACATGTCGGTCACCTCGTGAGCCAGGTCCAAATACTTTGTCTTCTTATCTGTTTCGGCTTTCAAGGTTTTCGTCATATGGAATGGTAATGTTTGCACGGTGACGGTATAGATGGCTCCAGCTCACCAAAAAAGCGATGCATCCTTGCCCGATACGCAAACCCTCTAGTTTCACTCCCTTTCGCCCTAAGATACACCCGTATTGCGTTTCTGTTCATATCAATATTCCAGTGCAAGGGGCGTATTCCACCAGCGACGGGTGCCGATTGCTGGATCTGAGAGGACCCTGCCGACTATTACCCTATCATTAATAATTATCATAATTATTAATGATAGATTATTGACCAGATTGTACACTACTAATGTTATTACTAGGGTAATAAATGAACTACATTTCAAGTTTGACAAACTTATTTAAACATTTGCCATCATTTCGCTAGCCAAAATTAAGCTCAATATACTAAACATACAGAAATATATTCATTAAATCTATTTATTTCAATAACCTCATAGTACAAGTCTATGTATAAAGAAAATACAAATTAATTCAATAAGCCATTGTTTGTTTAGAGTACACATACACAGGGAAAACATTTACAGATTTAAAGATTACTTTTAATCTGTAAATGTTAAATTAAGGGTATGTACAAACACTTATTTTCAGTGTTAATGATGAGCAAGACAACCCATGTAAAAAAACAATTTATGACAAGTGTTCAATAAGAATTGTATCATGATAGCAGTTGACTTAACGATGGTTTTATTATAAAGGCAAAATGAAAATGTAGATGCAGACCCAATGCAGACAGAGCGGGTTATAACCACTTTCATATGGGCTTAAGAATCTTTCTGTTCCTTTCGCTGTTGAATCATTTCCCGAATGTTGTCGCTACTCTCCTTCAGGTTGTTTTCCAAATATTGTTTATTATTTTGCAGTTCTTCAACGCGCTGTGATAATTTTCCTTCTCTTTGGTAAAAAATATTTAATACCTCATTGACTTCTGTTAAAAGAAACATTCTGCTTATTGATTGGTATGTTTTCGTCCCAGGTGGTAAGGCATCAAACTCGCGTCGGCTGACAATTATGTATTGCCAACTTTGTACCAATTTTTCAATTTGAGCATCTATAACTTTGATTTTTTTACTCGTTTCGCTCATTTTCTTTTGTAAATCTGCGAAAGCTTTTTTTAGCTCCAGATCCATAGGTTTAGCCATATTAAAGCGAATAAATATAAAAACACAGGATGCTCGAAAATACAAAATTGTCTCAGCTAATAGCTAGTTGTATGATTCATGAAAAAGTCAAGTTTTGAGGTTATATATTTTGTTTTTACTTTTCGGCCTCGGTGACAACAGTCACCGTCTTGATGCCTCGTAAAATTTAAATATTATTAAAAAAACTAATGTATGGACCTTACAAACAAGCATTTTTTAAAGAAAACCTTATTTAGGTGGCATTTAAATTATTAATTCCTAATGTAATTCAGAGAGCCGTGATAGCTCAGTGTCCGGGCGCTCGCTTTTAATTCAATATACTCGAGCAACCTGAGTTCGATCCCCGGTGCCGGCACCAATGAAGTTTCTAACTTTAAGTGCTGACTTATCACGTGCTCCGCTGTGAAGGAAAAACATCTTGAGGAAACCTGCATATTTTCGAAATAATAACAAAAAACATATATTTCGAGGATATGTGAAGTCCGCCAATCCGCAGTGGGGCCGCGTGTCAGTGTCAGTCATTATAATACATCTAGGAAGCCTTTAGATTGCATCGTGCTGGTCAGGTTTTATATTTATTTATTTAAAAACCTTTTGCCTTAGGGTACAATAGCGGACTTAAAACCATTATGTTTTCTCTACCAATCAACCAATAAATGAATAAAGAAAATAAGGTGAAAGAGCTAAATGATTGTATTTGATATAAAATATTACGTACTTATAAATATACACGTTGAAAGGATATTACAGCAATGAGAGAAAACAAAAACAAGAGAGACGGACTAAAATGAAAAAAGTGTTTAATTTTGCCGATTATCTAAATAGACTTTTTTGTATAAGAATTTTTTCTTCATAGGAAGTATTCTTGATCTATCATCGCAGTTGAGGCATGTCTGAACATTTTGTTTCTCATATAGCTGTCAATGCTAGCCCAACTAACTAAAATTAAATCGTGGCGTATACTAAGTTTTCCTTTTTTGAAGTTCTTTATTTTTGCGCGTTTGGAAAAAATTATGAGTGTAAAAGTTTTATGATGCGCTCACGCATCGACATCGACATTTTATAGATTATTATAGCAAAGCAAGAAACTTCACGGCATTACCATGCCAACATTTTTAATTTATCATCAATTATCATCATTTATAGTCTTTCACAAACAAAGACTACTCGCACAGAAGATACAATTTTAGTGGTACCTATATCTTTTGTTAAGCTAAAGAAGTATAAATGAATTTTGTATTTACTTCACTTTTAGGTCCTGCATATGGAATATAAGTACCTACCTACTGTACGTACTTTCTACGTTTCTGGGGTAAAGATTGGTCATCGTATTGTAGGACAACCATCCACTAGATGGAATGACCTGCACAAATGTACGAAAAGTAGATACATGATGCACTAGCCTCAGGATCATATTTGTAGTTTGTAAGGGAGACTTATGTTCATCGGTGGATTTTGAAATTTGCCGATAATAGGCTGTTCAATTTTTTTTTTGCTTTATAAATACTTGTTACAATATATGAACGTAGGTAATACAAAATAATGTAGGCATTTAGTAAATGTTCTTTGACATACTAATTGGCGTAGCGGATAGTGACCCTGTGTCTCGCGGCAGAGGGTGTAGCTTCGATCTCCACTACTTGAAGAATGTTGTATGACGAACACAGTGTTTTTCAAATATGTATTTTTTTACAAATGAAAAGTACTTTTAAGTATGTTAACAGTTACCTATTATCCATAGTACAAACTTTGTTTATTTTGGGTCTTGTTAACGTTGTGTAAAAATATGTGTTTATTTAGATTAATTTAGTTTTTAATAATTTTTTTATTATTGACCGTTTAAAAATAATACGAATAGAGTTTCTATTCAATTTTCTGTTAATAATTCGGTTAATAATGATAAAAAAATTAAACAACCTGGGAAAGTCTTACTTTACGTTAAATTTTCAAGAGTCGCTTTCTCTATGGATATATAACGATATTTTGATTTATTTCTGATGCCAAGATTCTATGCATTTATTATATTTTAATTTTGGTATGGTATTGTCAAAAGTAGAATATCCGGTCAGGCTTAGATCTTAGGATCTATTTCTAACCTTAAAATATTTCTATAACATCTTTATAAATTCAATTAAACTCAAATCTATTATTTTATATTCGCAATAATTACTGAAATGACTGAAATATATAATAAGCGCCATAGACAATTCTCGTCATCCCTCTACCGTTTACGACGTCGATTTATTTTTTAATTTTTATCTCTTTCCCTTGTCTATCGGCTCTCTCTCTCTCACCTCTTGAGTGTCTCGAATGTGACATGGCGTCTATCAAGATATATCGCGGCCTCCAATAAAACTTTAATAACAGTGGTTTTGTTTTGCATTTTATTACTGAGGCCGTAATAAATCGTATATTTGCATTGATGGTAATGCATGCAAGGAAACCGCAGCGAATAAGCGATGGGTATGATATGGTTTCTTATGCTTCGGCTCGGCAATACATAGATGGCGGTCGCCGAATGAGTTCTACTGCTGTATATCGTACAAACACACTAAATGTTTTTGTCTATTTACAGGTACTTTGAGAAGCACCAAACCCATCCGTATCAGGTAAGCGATTCCTAAAAATTACATTTTTGTCGATAGTGGAAGGAATCCCGATCATTTAAAGAATTTTCTTTGCAGCTCCTTGATTTTAATACTTCTCGATGTAATAGCATTAAGATTGTTCATTTTCTCCTACATTTGCTTAATTTCACATCAAAATACTTTGACGTTCTCTCCCGACCAACAACTTCTGTAACTGCCCTGCCTAAACTTATTAATAGAGAAATAATTTTTATCGTTTTATTACAAAAAAATTAATAAATATTGCTCAAACCTTTTATGTGATATTTTTTTAGTTGATTATGCTACAATAAATTGTTACTTTTATTGTGGCGTTTATTAAACTAACATAGATTAATGTTAAAATGACAAAAATGTTATTTACAAATCAATCCACATTGGAAACAAAGTCCTAAAACATTTATTTAATTTATTAATAATTTAATTATAAGGACTAGTCCGCCAACCCGCAGTTGGGCCGCGTGGTGGACTATGCCCTGATACCCTCTCTATAGAGGAGGCCTTTGCCCAGCTGTGGGACATGTATAGGCTGTTACTTTTTTTACTTTTTTAATTATAAGGATGATTTTCTCTTTAAATTCTTTGATGTTTGATGACCTACATCACCTATGAATGATTATTAATTAATGTACTGTATGAACTTAAGATTCTTTAAAAAAAAAAGAGATTCATAACATTTTCTTTATTCTATTAGGCTATTATTTGTAAAATGTTTGATGTTTCGTTTTGTGCACAGAAGTACAACTCCAAGACTGAGAGGAGAACTAATGACTACATCCCTGATACACGCTACACACCACTCAGATCACCAAATGGTAATGTGTCAGCGCATGGGCACAGCCACGTCACTAACACTGGCCATTCAACCCATGGACATCACCATTACAGTCACATGCCAGATGATAGGGCACATGCAACATCTAGAAATTCCTATATGCAGAAAGGTCCTGAAAAGGAGAGAGATCGAGACTACAAATCATCTAGAAATAAGTACTCAGGTAATGTTTATTGCAGTAATACTACAATAGCTTTTTATAAAATATTTGGTATCTCCAGTGTTACAAAAAAAAATTGGAGAACATTTTTTGATCATAGGTTGGTCCCAAATGTTTGTCATAACTTATGGTAACATATCCATTATTTTGTTGCTTGACCAATATACTCTTGGATTCCTTTGTTTTTTAATATTGTTTTTTCACTTGGCAAAATTATGGTTAATGCTGGCGTCATAGGACATTATTGTTAAAAAAATTAAAATACTATGAGTATTCCATGCTGATATTAGAATGAAGGACAACATATGAAAATCTGTTTACAGCCCATAAATTTATAAGTAAATCAAAGCAGATAAAATTTTGTAATCCTCTAGACAGCATAAGCGAATGTTTTTTTATTTTCAAATATTGTTATGATGCGAATGTTATGTGTTTTGTCACAAGAATATTTTTACAAAATTTTAAGAAACATTCTATTTTGATTATAGAGGGGATATTCATTTCTTTTTCTTGTCTGGTTGGGTTTATAAATAGAAATTTTTGATTATTATTAGTATGATGTAGAAGTCACAAAATTTTCAGCATAACATTTGGTGCAATTATTTATTTTAAACATAACATTTGATAAATTCCAGATAGTGTCCGATCACCGAAGGAGAAGCGTATTAAAGATAGTGAAAGAGAGAAGAACAACCATGAACGATGTGAATCTGAGAAAAAAAGTAGGACTAGTGGCATGAACTGTAGTGTTAGTAGGAGTAGTAAATATGACAAGAGAAGTGCACCAGCTCCAAGCGTGCCTTCAGGCAGTGAATGGTCAGAACACATTAGTTCATCAGGAAAGAAGTATTATTATAACTGTATCAGTGAAGTGTCACAGTGGGAGAAGCCCAGGGAGTGGGACTCTCGGAGGACATCATCCAAAGATTCTACATATTCTGCAAGAAGCAGTAAGTTATTTTTTACTTTCATAATAAATAAACTTGTGTCAAAAAACTGCTGTGTTACTTATGCGTTGTTATAGTTGCATACAATAAAACAAATTTTATGTATGCTTCACTATATTTCATAATATTTTTTTGTTTATCTTAATATAAGAGATACTATTAAGCATACAATTAAACTAATTTTATGTATGCTTCACTATATTTTACAATATATTCCTGTTTAACTTAGTTAGAGATACTATTAGTTATCCCTTGAATTTTACCCATAAAATTAGGGGTAACTCTTAAAATCTTCTGATTTGCCTCTCTCTCTCTCTCCCCCCCCCCCCCCCCTTTTATTATCATAAATTTAAGCAGTAATGGAAATTTTTTAATGTGTTGTGCATATTATTATGTTCTGAACAACATCTACAAAAGTTGCTGATTCTGCATCCTTTTAAGTGTTACAGATGTGCTTCTTATTGTCATTTTCCTCTCATCAATTGAGAAAAATTCATGACAATTATGTAATAACATTCATTAATGAGATGTTATTACATAAAATGCTTTATTATTGTGTACACAAACTGCTGTGTGGATTTCTGATAGTGTAGGGATATCAAAGATAAAATATTTCATTTTCAGCTGTGTTATGTCATACTTTACTTCATAATTTGCTGATACTTGGATTTTTAAAATTTAAATGAAAAACATTGTAAGACCAATAATAAAAATCTTGAAATTCTTAATAGAATCATGTTAATTAGGTCATTTAAAACATTTACACCTGGTTTATAAAACACTGATTAATTCAATTCAATTCAATTTTTAATGTAATGGCTCCATCAAGGATAGCTTGATGATTCTGCCAATGTCAAGGTTGAACAAAACAGATAGTAAGTGATATAATTGCCCGGTAGTGTAGGCTTTTGTATGGTAGTTAGAACATCATACTTGACTGGTTGACTACCTGGACAAAAACAAAACAATTTGTTAGAAGATATATAAATTCAAAAAATATAAATAAATAATGGTGGCTAAAAAGTTAAGACAAACAATTACAAGGAATAGAAATGGGGATGTTAAAGCTTTATGTTATTAATACAGAGGAATTTATGAAGTAATTTGACAACATGGGGGTCATTAAGGGTTAAAAGGAATGGGATATTGACAGGTCTGGGGAAGTTGGAAGGAAGGATATCATATAGAGGAATGGTAAGATTTGGACATGAAAAAAACAAGTGTTCCAGAGTACCCTCTGCTAAGCTGCACTGACATAGAGAGTGGTCCAGTATACGTAGTTTAGCTAAAAACACTGGGGAGCAAACATGTCCTAAACGAAGGCGAATTATTACAGAAGTAATTAATTTACTGAAACACTTGTATTTGAAAAACCAGGGCCTAGATGGGATATTAGGCTGGATACTAGCATAGAATCTCCCTTTCACAGCTTTGGTTTGTTGCCATAAATTATTCCAAGTTGCTAGAGTGGCATGGATCCCCTATCACAACAGCTTGTTTGGCATAATAATGGGCTGTTTCATTACCTAGAATATCCATCTGACCAGGAATCCAGGCTAGAACAGTTTCAATACCCTCGCTTTGTAACTTGAATAATATTTCTTTTGTGTTAAGCATAATTGAGGAATGGCGTTTACGGTGGATGGGAAGTTTCTTTAAATCCTCTAGACAACTACGGGAGTCACTGAGGATCAAAGTCTTACGAAAATGGGATTGGTTAGAATCTATATATTTTACTGCTTCTAAAATGGCTACTGCTTCACCTGTAAAAATTGAACATTCTGAAGGACATTTAAAACTTAAAACTACACTGTACTTTGGGATATAAACAGATGCACCAATAAGAGATGAACCTGTATTTGAAGCATCTGTGAATATAAGAACCCAGTCAGCCCAATCATTCCTCACAAGCAAGTTAAATTTCTGGTTAGCATTCAAGGTATTCTTGTCAATGCCAAGGTTTAGAATAATATTGGGATAAAAAATGAAAGCATCAGTACTGGTAGTAAAAAGTGGGTGGTTTTCTAAGCAGAGAACAGATAAATGAGAGGATTTATATCTATTGTAACTATTTACTAATAAAGGATGGGATTTATTTGACCAATAAGGAGACAAGTCAATGGAGCGGGAAAGGAGACTTAAGGATTTTAAAATGGGGTGTGAGGGGTACTGAACAGCATTGGTAGAGAATCTGTCAGCAAGAAACTGTCTAGGGAAGTTTAAAGGAGGTTCATAGCCCCAGTAATTATACTTAAGCACTTTGACTGGATTTTGTCAAGCTTACCAAGAGCCAACTTACTGCATGTTTCCAAAATAAAGCAGCCGTAATCAAAGTGGCTACGTACAATCGCGTTATAGAGGATCTTTTGGGAAAAAGGATGAAAGCCCAACGAACTCCCGACAAGGCTCTGAGGGTGTTGGTGTTTTTCTCACACTTAAAATATATATATTGTAAATGGGGAATACCAGTCATGTTGGAATCAAGGATGACTCCCAAAAATCTTGTCTGACTCTTAAATAAAATTGGTTCACCATCTAGAGATAAATGTAAATGAGGTATATTCCGTTTTCGACTAAACGTTATGCTACGCATAGCATTTAAGAATAGACAGACTTAGGTCTTACACTGATCATCATAGAAGTTAAGTAATCAGCCAAAAGGATGGTTAAACTATTTGAATTGATCATTAAGAAGATCAGTCTGATTGATTAGAAGGGTTTTGACAACTCAAATCACCTTTAAAAAGTCATTTGACAGCTGATTACTTAATATCTACCATGATCATTGTTCCAAAAACCAGACGTTAGTTTTATTATTTTTAAATAATCACTTTCAGATAGATATTATATTGATCACGTATTAGATAAACATTAAAAAAAATTTTGATTATTAACTTTTGCGTTAATATTATAATTTTGTGAATATTAGCCCTTTATGAAGAAGCCCGGACCTCGCACTTCGAAACAGCACACTAAGATCTTTTTGTGTGAACGTGTTTTATTTTATGAGGGAAAGCGGTATGAAGTGACTACAGTCACCCGGCGGTATGGACATTTCGATCCTAAGAGGTATATGCAACTATGGAATACTCATTCCGTTTACCGAATACTCACTCCATTCTTTCGTGGCACCAACGCGGCACTAACGGCTCTTACATCACCAACGTTTACGCAGAGAACTTTACAAACGAACGCACAACCAGTTATTTGTTTGCGCGGTTCCATTCTGGAATTTTTTGATTTGAGAAATGAACCTTGCTGTCCTTTGGTCAGCAAAGATTAATCAAAGGCGATTGTGGAAGCTCATGTGGTACCTTACGAACCTATATACATAATTTTTGATGCAAAATTTGACGATTCATAAGAGCGCGCAAGCGTCTATTTGAATAAATATATCTTTGATTTGATTTGATTTAGATGATACTCAATCTACAGCCGAGCTAGCAGCAGCCTTTGATGTTAGCATCAAAACAACATTGGTCCATTTGCGACAAATTAGCAAGTAAAAAGCTTGAAGGATCGGTGCCCCACGTACTTAACGATCGCCAGCGCGTCGTACGCTTTGACACATGCCTCGCGCTGCTCAACAGGCACAGAAATGAGGGAAATTCGAGCCGAATGTTACGTGCGATGAAAAATGGTTTCTGTTCTACAATCGAAAGCGCTCAACGAGTTGGTTAGATACTGGTCTCGATTCTGGTCCTCTTTGGACACTAAAGCAATTCCCTATAGGTGATGGTGGTCACTGTTTGGTGGTCTAGTGCCGGTGTGGTTCAACACAGCTCTTTACAAAGCTGCATGAGCATTATTAGAGATGTTTACTGTGAATAACTGAAGACAATGGTAGAGAAGCTCGCACACCTGCAACCAGCTTTGGTCAATCGGTCATCCCCGCTGCTCCTTCATGACGACGCGTGTCCCAATACCGCACATCAGACAGTTTTCAAGCTGCAAGAGTTGTGGTTGGAAAATTTGGACAACTTTTTATCGAGAAACAAAATTTAATTCCTGAGAGGCAGAGATTCCTGACAGTACAGAATGCCTTTGAGGAGTCTGTTTGCTCCCGTCCAGCTGATTTTTACAGGAAGGGCAACAGTAAACTACCACAGCGATGTCAAAGATGCGTCGATTGCATGGGAATTCCAGAAATAAAAAGTTTAAAAAAAATAATTTAACTTATTCAATAGAAAACGGCAATTTCATAGGTAAAGACCTAATATTACGGTATTCCGTCTTGAGTGTCTTTCTTTTTGTCAGTTCGAAGCAATGTCCTTCGTCATAGGACGACGTTCTTTATGTGCGCTTTGTGCTTACATTAGTGATGAAATAGGAATAAATGCCTGACAAAAAGCAGGGCATTTTCATTCTTTCTGCCGTTTTTTATAGTTCCGTATCCAAAGGGTAAAATGGAACCTAATGACTAAGACCCCGCTGTCTGTTTGTCTGTCAGTCTGTAATCAGCCCGTATCTCATGAACGAGCAATTCTTGTATATATATATATAATCGGAATCTCGGAATCGGCTCCAGCGATTTTCATGAAATTTAGTATGTGCGTAGATTCGGGGGCGAAAAATCGATCTGGCTAGGTTTTATTTTTAGAAAATGCCCTTTTATCCCTGTTTTCAGGGAATGAAAAATATCATTCGAATATGACAGTTAATTTCGCCGCAAAATAAAATGTTATAATAGCTAGGTCGGTAACCGGGCGGCCCTAAAACAGACCGCCGTGGTTCGTATCACGATCATTTACACACTTATTTTTTTTACTTTTTTTCTATACCAGATCATTTTCTTTATTTTTTATTTTTTTTATTTCCAAAATACATAATTTACAAAAAAAAACCGGTCCTCCAGGTACTAGTTAATGGTACGGAACCCTACGTGCGTCACGACAGATTCCCACTTGGCTGGTTTTGTTTTTACTTGTTCTGCTTACGTTTGTGTAGCACATCCAATCCGGGAAACTGTTGTGAGGGCACCATGCCACCGGCATCGACGCAATATCATCCACGCTAGGTCCACGTGACCGATGCCTTGAACCCGGTGCGTTGTTGTTGAATTACTAAAACGCTCTAAGCCCGCATATAGCGGCCGCATGTATAATTCCGCATAATCACGCTCCCCGGTGGCCAGGCCGACAAGCTCTGTACTAAATATTTCTCAGTTGTAGGGCCATACTTCTGCTGTTGCACGAATGCGGGTACAATGGATATAAAATTAGCTATTCAAAATAGAAATTTTTATTTTTACTCCTTGGCTGGCCTCTTACCCGCCTTGAACGTAGCTCACACGGAAACTTCTTCAGATCGATAAAAGAGTATGGGCAGAGCTTTGCGCTCATATAAGTTAGGCACTTATCATGTAGAAGACTTGGTCATATGGTAGTTTTAATAAAATAATATAATAATTAACGTATTACGTTAAAATATATTATGTTAAAATAAATAAGAATAATATTAAAGTTTTCCGACTTAAAGTAACTACAGACTACGCCATTTGTACAGTTGACTGTTGACGAATTGTAACTAATATAAAAGAAGTTAGTTACACAAAATATTTAAGAGGGTACACTTTGTAACGTTTATTTATGAAAGAGGGTTAATTAAGGGGTATTGATTTAATAAAAGATATATTTCTGTTAAGATGTTGTATTTTACCCTTCAGTTCATAGTTACAATCCCTTGACTGGCTCAGATACAATATAGTTTAAAAATGTAAATTAATTATAAGTTGGGCGCCTTGTCTGTTAGGAACAGACTGTTGTAATAATTACAATTAAGTATTTCAGGGAGTCGTGAGTACATAGGACCTACACATTACTTTGTGCGACCATAAAAAGGTTAGATAATTAAATTAACTTGAGATTGTAAAAGTTATGCAATACAATTGAACTACAAAGTCTAATTCAGGAATATATTTTAAATCTATTTCACCGCAGACACCTGCCGTGTGTGCACAGGTCAGCGTTCAGCTCAGAACCAGCAGAGAGTCATTCCAAGTGTAGTGAGTACAGCCACACTGTTGGGGGTATGTAGGAGACCTCCTGCCAACAAACGCTACATTGTAGAACAAACAAAGGCAGGGATATGAATCTACCTACAACTATGAAGATGTGAAACTGGAGGTAAAAAACACTATTTACACACTATCGAGCAGCAGCTCAGACCAGCTTGCCAGCCACCTATGACTTCAGCATCCACCTGTGATATTCGAAAAACCAACCTTAGAATAGAAACACGAGACAATAAAATTCTCAACCTACCTTCATGTTAGATTTTTAAATACATTCTCAATGCAAGTCTTTTACAATTTTAGTAGGGAACCAGTGAAAATTACCAAATATCTTACCACGAGGGATAACAAATCCAGCAAAGAGTTCCCAGACAGGAATCACACAGATAACACGACCAGGAACGTCTTTTACTTGAAAGGAGAAAAAAAATTGAAACGAATAATGAAGTAATAAGAAAGACCTCTTGTGAGTGATCATCGAGTAAAGAGTGAAATAAACAAGGAAAGGAGGGAGACATTGACAGATAGAGTGCAGATAGACAGACACATACGAGGGCTCATGGATAAGTTCTTTTAAAAGCTATTTATAAAACTTATCCATATCTTTATCTTTCAAATAACGACTGTCAAAAATTCAGCAAAAAAAAAATAACAAGTTTTTTCAGTTTAACCATTGTTTCACTGTGATCACTCGTAAATTTTCAAATTCTATGGAAAAATCTGAATTTCGTGTCGTTAAGAAACATTTTCTTATGAATGGTTGCAGTGCTGCACAATAAAAACTGAACTTGATTCTGTTCTTGGTTTTAACGCACCAACGTTGCAGAGTGTTTGTAACTTAACGGTGGTAAACTTTAACGGTGGTAGGGCCACGCAGCAGCCTTGGCTGTTGCACGAATGGGTAGGTCCGTCCGGGTAAATACCACGACCTCACAGAAGACCAGCGTAAAGTGGAAGTATGGCAAATACTTTCGCGAACTCAAGGAGCCCAATTTTCAAAAGGTTGTCAACGTATCTGTAACCCTCGGTTGTAGCAGATGTCCGTGGGTGGCGGTATTCACTTACCATCAGGTGAACCGTCTGCTCGTTTGGGAACTATTCACATAAAAAAAACTGGAATAATGATTTTAAGCGTGGTCGGTCAAGCACGTCTGATGCTCCACGCTGTGGTCCAAATTGGTCCCAATCGAAGCCCCTACTCAGGATGTTGTTGAAGAAGTCTATAATATTGTACTCGTCGACCGCCGAGTTAAGTTTTGTCAAATACCTACCTTCTGCGTGAAGATTAGGTTATGACGAAAGCTGTCTGCACAATGGGTGCCACGTTTATTGACAATCAAACAAAAACGCAAACGAAAGCGAATTTCAAATCTGTGGATATGATGAAGCGTAATCCTCAGAATTTTTTGAGTCGAATTGTCACTGTGGATGAAACTTGGGTCCATCATTATACACCTGAATCAAAACAGCAATCAAAAATATGGATGGCGACTGGTGAACTTGACCCAAAGAAGGCCAAGATTGTTTTCTCGGCTGGAAGGTGATGGCGACAGTCTTCTGGGATATCGAAAGAATCATTATGATTCATTACTTGGAAAAGGGAAAGACTATCACTGGCCGTTATTACGCAAAGTTATTGGACCGTTTCAATGCAGAATTGTTGGAATAAGTTCTTGTTCAACGAGACAATGCGCCAGTGCACACAGCAGCTATTGCAATGGCCAAAATCCACGAGTCGAGCTTCTAGCTGGTTCCGCATGCCCCGTATTCGCCGGACCTCCGTGCGATTATTACCTATTCCCAAATCTGAAAAGATAGCTTGGAGGGCAAACATTTTTGCAAACATTTAATTAGCAAACATTTATATATATATATATATATATATATATATATATATATATATATATATATATATATATATATATATATATATATATATATATCTCTCCTCTCTATATATATATATATATATATATATATATATATATATATATATATATATTCGACCTACCGAAAAAAAAATTTAAATCGACCTACGGAGGAGGCGGTATAATAAATGTTATAAGTAAAATAAACATTTAACAACGTTTATGTAAATAGTCAGTATGATATCGTAAAGCTTAGATAGTGTTTGCATCACCGGCGTAAAATATTGTCTGTCACGGGCATCGACCGGTGCTTTGTATGTACAATTAGTATAAGGACACTACCAATTCAGTATGTCTATTAAAGTGTTGAAGTAGACGTACCATCAGAGAGCCTCGCTCACTCATATACATATAACAAGCCCTTAAGAACAATGGGTAATGGGAAAAGTTGCATTTCAAGTAAAGTTCAGTTCAGTATACAGATCCGACTTACTGCGTTTGGGTGCTGGGAGTTAGAGTTCCTTCAAACTCAACTTTACTCAGTTTAAGGGAAATGTCTTTGCATAATAGGGTCCGACTGAGACCTCGCTCCCATTCATTCTCGGCTGGAAATCAGACCGAACTCTCGATCTAGTTCTCGGCTTACAAACACCGTGTGTTCTCTGTGTGCTGTAAAACGCATGTTTTTTCATAATCAATTCTTTAAATTGTTATCTATATCTGGGTCATGGAAATCCTAAAGAAACTAATTAAAAAGAACTGGACTATTTATTTGAGTTTTAAAATATACACCATAATTGTTGTTATAATTACATACTTTCTGACAAGTTTTCGCTTTTTTACCATGATCTATTCATATATTCAGGTATTCTATATAACGAAACATTTGTCTTTTTGTCGTTTATCTTTTTTATTTTTTTTCTCGATTTTGATGCCGAGAGTACAAGATCTCCGTCTAATAAGATGGAGGTCTTTTACTACCCGATTTATCGATAGTATTAAAATCAAAATCTTATTTCGAGTTATTCAGAAGTTATGAGTAATTTCTCTTATATCCTGATTCATAAACGGATTTTTAGATCTAGGGTTATCGCTTCATCTTACATATATTATTTATTTTTTTACTTTGTTGGCTGTAGTTTAATTGAAGATTTAACTGAGGATGGATTAATGTATTCCGAAATAAACATACATGTACGTTCTTAAACGGACGCTTGGTAATTTTTTCAAGGAACCAAGACAAGAAAAAAATGCCAAAATTTTTAATATTGTGATTCATCACCATATAAAGCTCTGAAGCCATCAAAATAAAAAAAACTACTTTTTTATCGTAATATACAGTGTAGTCTTTATAACGTCGTTCGATATTACGAAAAACTTTCTAAGTTTAAATTAGTTCAATTTGGTTGGTTTACCACAAAATCCATACATTGATTCCTATCTCTCTCTATCCATTTCCTATTACGAAGATATATATATATTTTCGTATTTCGACAACAGCCGTCTCGCTTTTGTTATTGTTAACCAAGATCTATTGCGCAGTTTTAAAGTACTAAGCATATACAGCGTGTCTTTACCACCGCGACAATAAATGAACACACATATAGAGGATAAATTTTTAAAATTTTATTAAACGTTTACATTCTTCATACATACTTCATTTAATTTTCCAAAACAAACAATTTTAGAACACCCTTACCTATAAAACTGTAACGTAAAGTTCATTTGTAAAGGTCACAAAACATATGAATGGGTTGAATGAATTTAAAAGAGACAAAACATACTGTTAGAAGGAGAGGCTTGTAATGCGACGCTGTCGCGCGAGTTGTATAGGATGTTACAAATTTTGTTTCTTTTTTACTTAATTAGTTTGTTTGAAAAATATTTTTTTTTAATTATGGATTTTGTTTAACGTTAATATTTTTTTTATGATTATTGGTAAGTAGCGTTAGACGTGTGTTCATTTATTGTCGCGATGGTAACGACACGCTGTATAGGGACAGTCAGACAGCGGTGACTTTATTACATACTTATATACAATTAATAGAAAATAGGACATGAGAGATTGAATTTATAGAGTATTCTGAAAACATAGTTTTGTGCCCCCAGATCGCGAGAAGCGGTCGAGGTCGCGGTCGGGGCGGCGCGACGCCGAGAAGCAGCTGGGCAAGCGCGGCGCCCCGCCCGACCGCTACTGGGGCCCGCGCGACGACGACGCCCACGAGCGCCCCGCCGCCCGCGCCAAGCACCCCCACGACGCCAAGGGTCCTTTCTCGCATATACACACACACGCGCACGCACGCACGCATGCATGCCAATTAGGAATACAATTCTATTCTCTATTCTTAGTCAGCGATTGGCTGTATGAGCACTTTTTGTACACTGAATAAGTGCTAAATGAAAATAATGATAGGAGCTGCTCTCTTTGAATGTATGAGAAACGCGTATGTGTACTGAGTGGTCACTTTTGGGGCGGCGCAGAGGGCCAGGCGCAGGACATGGACATCTCGCCGGACCGCAGCACGCCGCTGTCCGAGGGCTCGTACCACGCGCGCGAGCCGCTGCCGCGCTCCGACGCCGCGGTGCCGCCCGTCGTCGTGCTCGACAACTCCAACCAGCCGGTGAGGGGCCATCGGCCGCGCCCCTTTCGCCCGCACCGCGCCCGCCGCGCCCGCCGCGCCCGCCACTCACCCCGCCCCGTGCACTGTGCGCAGACGGGCTCGCTGCTGGCGGCGGCGCTGCCGCGCATCGTGGCCGCCGCACCGCTGGCGAACAACAACAACGGCGGCGGAGGCGGAGGCGGGGGCGGAGGCGGAGGCGGAGGCGGCGTCTCGCCGGCGGGCGGCGGCGGCGACAGCGGCAACGGCACGCCGCACCGCGACGCCGGCCCACCGACGCCCACGCACTCGGAGAACACCGATCCGCACGCGCCCCCGCTCCACCTGGACGCCGCTTTGCCCCGGAAAAGTCAGTGCCTTTGAAATTATTGTTTGTTAGCGCACCAATGAAAATATAACAACCTACATCGGGTGAGTAACAGTCTATACATGTCCCACTGCTGGGCAAAGACCTCCCCTGTAAAGAGGGTATCAAGGCATAGATGGGGTACAGGACATTTTCAGGTTGATTACAGTTGTAAAATTGACTGTAAGTATATCTGAAATAATTATACTATTTCACACACCTTTGCTGATTAAATGGCAACTATAACACTTGATTTTCACAAATTTATTTCACGGGCGATTCAGGTGGGGGGACATTGAAGCGAGTGCTGTTAATTAATTGCAAACGTCTTAAAGTTTTTTATAGTGCTAATTTCTGCACTTAATATTGAACATTAAAAGATGTTTTAATTGCAAACGTTGTTCATCGTCATTTGTGCGCTTGCCGTTATTCCACCCATTTCCCAAATTATTGAACTATAACTAGACGCGTGCTTCAAATTATCAAATTTGTGGAAGCATGTGAAGACAAACCGATAAACGATTAATATGCGAATGTTTTTGAAGGTGCCGATTTGTTTTCGAAGCAATTGCTGGTATTGGGAAAAACGCCTGACACCTCTACCCACAGAGTTCGTTCTAATGACTAAAATCGAAAGAGGAGCTCGTACCCCGTCTTTTTACTAACATAGTGCAACAATTCAAATCCATAATCGGCCGAGCGACGGAGCAATACATACGCCACCAAAACTTCACTTGCTTTCCTTCAAATCAATCAGATCGATTGAAACAGTTATTAATCAGAATGCGATAGTCAACTGTCCCGTATAACTTTTCGAGTTCCCCGACATTGATTTGGCTACTAAATAAGGGCATCGTGGCAACTGGAAATCATAAAGGAAAAATACGAAGGAGAAGATTTATCTCGATTATTTCAACTGACTTGCCATTCTGTACTGCCAACTCTTAGTAAAATTTTTGAAAAAATCATGTTAAATCAAATGTTACAGCATTTTAGCTCTCATAATTTATTACATAACAAGCAATATGGGTTTACTAGGGGTCGCTCAACAACTGATGCGGGTGTTCAGCTCGTTATGAATATTTTTGAAGCCTGGGAAAAGTCGCAGGATGCCTTAGGAATATTCTGTGACTTAACCAAAGCTTTCGATTGTGTACAGCATGAGACCTTGGTCAGGAAACTACGCCACTATGGTATAAGAGATGCCGCACTCAATCTTCTGAAATCGTACTTGAGCCATCGAATTCAGAGAGTTGACGTGAATGGCAAGAGATCTCCCGGGGCCTTGGTAAATATGGGGGTCCCGCAGGGATCTATTCTTGGGCCTTTTCTCTTCCTCATTTACATAAATGATCTACCTTATCTTGTTAATAATAATCATGAGATAGTATTGTTTGCGGATGATACCTCTTTAATCTTTAAAGTAAACCGACGTTCTTTAAGTTATGACGATGTAAACAATACTCTATCTACTGTAGTACATTGGTTTAGTGCTAACAATTTACTGTTGAATAATAAAAAAACTAAATGTATTAAATTTACAACTTCCTCCAATGTTAAACATGTAAAAACTGATGTACTTTTATATGGGGAAGCGTTGGACCCTATTGACTCAACTGTATTCCTTGGCATAACTATTGATGCCAAACTGCAATGGGGCCCCCATATTAATAGACTGGCGAGTAGACTTAGCTCAGCAGCTTTCGCGGTCAAAAAAATAAGACAGTTAACTGATGTTGATACGGCTCGCTTGGTATATTTTAGTTATTTTCACAGTATAATGTCTTATGGCATTCTGCTTTGGGGTAACGCGGCCGACATTAATACAATCTTTATCTTACAAAAGAGAGCTATTCGTGCAGTTTACAATCTGGGCCCCAAAGAATCGTTAAGAAACTTGTTTAAAGAGATAAAGGTATTGACTGTTGCTGCTCAATACATTTTTGAAAATTTTTTGTATGTCCATAAAAATAAGGATAAATTTTTAAGACATAATAATGTTCATGATATAAATACTAGGAACAAAAATAAATTGATCCTACCCACAAGTAGACTCCGTAAAATAAGTAAATCTTTTATGGGACAATGTATACGTTATTACAACAAAATTCCAGAAAACGTTCAAAATGCATCAATAGCTAAATTTAAAAAAATAGTAAAAGAACGTTTGTGTGTTAAAGGCTACTATAATATTAATGATTATTTAAATGATAACACACTCTGGTAATGAACTGATCGCTCCAGGCTCTTTCAATCGGAGTTCTTATATTGTATTTTAACGAATTTATGTCAAACTGCTTATTTAAAAAAAAAAAAAAAGCCCGCTGAGTTTCTTTCGCCGGTTCTTCTCAGTACAGTGGCTTTCTTTTCCGAACCGGTGGTAGTGTTTTGACTATCAATAAGTGAGTGTAATGCTCCTATGTTGAATAAATACATTTGATTTTGAAAAAAAAAAAAAAATTCGATTCTAATCAATGAATTACTGTCTGGCCTAAAAACCGTGACTGATACAGGTGATGGATTAGGAAAGATAACAGATGATAACAGAAGTTGTAATAAAATTAGCTGTAATTTATTGTATTACAACTGTTTTATATTGCACATAATTATGATGACCTGTGCCTGCTCCGCCACAACCATGTTGACATGCAAGCCACAATGGACCATCTGCGCACGGACGACCCAGGATATGCGCCCCGAAAGGGATTTCGTTGCTACCGTTAATAGGCTTGAAACTTAAGCAATTCACGTACGTCGATAGTGTCGTGTCGGAAACCGGAGGAACTGGAGAGGACATTGCCATTTCTATGATAGCCAAAGCTATATGGCAGGCTAGACGACTAGGAAGCTGACTCGGAGAATGAAATCCTTACTTCCTTACATACCTAATACCATACTAATATTAAAAACGCGACAGTTTGTATATTTCACGCAAATACTACTGAATGGATTTTATTGAAACTTTAAAATCCATTTATACATCAGAAAAACACATAGACTATAATTTATTAATATATTGTGTGATTTGTCCAAAATATTACGATAAGTTTCAAGTAATTGGGAAAACATTCTGCCATCTCCGAGTTATTTTGGTGTGCGCTGCAAAAACCGTTAGTTGCACGTAATAATGGAAACGTTTATCTTAAATATTCCTGTAGTAAAGCCCACAATACTATATATCTATTATTGCAAAAATAGTGAACCATAAATGCAATAAAAATTGGTAATTTATTTCTAATGCATATTTGTTTATAGTTAGGGTAGTTTTATAGTGTCGATCGAGCCTCAAAACCGTCCTGCTATATGGGTGCGAAATGTGGAGGATGACAAAAGCAAACGCATGAGCACTTGATCCAAGTCTCCATAAACTGATACTTATCCTTTGGGTTGTGAGGCGTGAAAAGGTCTCCAATGAAGAGCTCTGGGGTTTCTGCCACGAAAACTCGATCGGTCGTCAGATCAAACGACGTAAGTGGACACATTCTCAGACAAGCTCTCGAATGGACTCCATAAAGAATACTTAGAGGCCTTCTGTAGCAGCGGAAATAAACACCTATTTTGAACGACATGCTTAGGAGCAAAGCGCGTAGCCCAAAACAGAATGCGATGACGGAGTACTGTTGCCGCCCTCTGTCCCACCTAGGGGCCACACAAATCCGGTCTTCTGATCAAGGAAGGGCATGTACGCGCAGAGGGGGTCGGCTGATTGTTTGTGTAGCCATAGGTCGGCTGTTGTTGCAGTGGAGTGCCTGGGCAGCTACTCGTCGGTGGTGGGTGGCAGCCTGCAGCACGCGCCGCCGATGCTGACGCCGTCGCTGGTGAACTACGTGCGGGCCGACCTCACCGCGCACGTCACCGCCTGGCCGGCGGACATCCTCGAGAAGCAGGTGACCCCACCGCCACATCATTCAGCGGGGACTAATGTTACTGTGTAAAAGTGTTAGCCATACTAGCTCTCTCTCTTCTCTCTTAGTAAACAATTTTAGTGGTTATTTTTAAGGTTCCGTACGCAAAGGGTGAAACGGGAACCTATTTCTAAGACTGCGCTGTCTGTCTATCTGTTGGTCTGTATTTTTGACACACGTCTGTCACCAGTCTGTATCACATAAAATGTGATAGTCATATAGTTTGAAATTTTCCCAGACTTTGTTATCTGAGAAAGTGGCACACGAGCTGCCGGGACACCTGATGTTAAGAGATAACCCCCACCCATGAACATTTGCAACACCCGTAGGTTTGCAAATGCGTTGTCACCTTTAAATGAATTGGGCTCCAGCTACCTCACTCAGTAGACAAAATGCTGAAGTGTAACAAAGACTTCTATTTTACGCCGGTCTTATGAATGGTCGTTGTACTTGCCCGTACGGCGGACCTGCCCATTCGTGCAACAGTGAACACTGTTACGTAGCCCTACCACTGTTAAAGATAATGTATTTCTGTTACTGTGCCGCTATAACATCAATTCTAAAACACAGAATAAAAAAATATTTAAGTATTTATCCCACACAAGACATGATTTTTTTGCCGTTTTTAAAAATATTGGAGGAATAGTACGGAATATAGACGATAAGTACGAAACCCTTCGTGCGTGAGTTCGACTCACACTTGGCCTATTTACATAATTTCCAGCCACTGAACCTGCAATGCTTATAAATTTCTAATAAATATCACTATGTTTTTTGAGATAAGTGCCTATGAAATAAAACAGAAGAATTTATTGAAATCTATACAGTATTTTTATTCAAATAGATTGTATTTTTAGTAGTTAATGGAAGCGGCAATATACGGCCTGTTTGTTTTTGTCAACACTTACTCGCAAATTTTTCGTTATCTGTAAGTAAATTCCTAAAATGATTTAAATGCCTTGTTGTTTAGATGAAATGACGGTTCTCTTTATTTCCTTCGCTTTCCCCACCATGTCCATTAATGTCATTACTTTTTTTACATGTCTTTAAATAATATATACAAAGGCATCTAGATAATACAAAGGCAAAAAGGGATACAGTTGGAATATTCAGACATTTTATACGCAACAATAAGTTGAGCAATGCGTTTGATGCCTTTTTGTTTTTGTCGAGTTTTCAATGCACCAGGCAGCATTGGGCATATTTGTTGGTACTTTTGGAAGTTTGCAATTTGCGCAGGTTGCAAACTGACCAACTGATGTAATGAAGCGTTTTTTGCAGGCGAACAAGTTCACGGAGGAGGCGTACCAGCTGGGCTGCCTGCAGTGTACGCGCGTCTCCGCCGAGCTGAAGTGCGCGCGCTCCCTGGTGCGCCACACCGAGATACAGGCGACGCTGCAGGAGCAGAAGTGAGTCCGGCCGCGTCTCCCCTCTGCGAAGGCCGCCGCGCTAGAGCTGTCGTTGAAACTGTGCCGTGTGTGTCGGCAGGATCATGTACCTCCGGCAGCAGATATCCCGGCTGGAGGAGCTCAAGTCGCAGAACTCGTTCATGTCGGACGACTAGGAGGCGGCTTGGCGCCGGGCCGCCCTGCATTCCGTACCGGCCGGGCCGGGGGAGTGCGCCGCCCCTGCTCCCGCACCCGCACCCGCCCCCGCCCCCGCCATCGCCATCGCCATCGCCATCGCCATCGGCCCCGCCCCCGCCCGGGGACACCAGGCCTCGGCCCCGATCGCCGCCGCTACATGACAGAAACTTTCTATTTCATTAGAAACGGTTATTTACTACGATTATCATCGTCATTGGTCAGTTGTAAGGGTACAGTGTTTTGTAACGTAATTATTGTAAAGAATTAAATTATTAAAATGATAATTTCGTAGAAGATTATTGTTTTTCTATAGACGCATTAGCTATATTGTGCGTGCGTGACTTCGGTTGCGGCTCGGTAGAAACCAGTCGATGCCTAGAGTACCTGTTGTCCTCTAATGCTATTGAAAATGTTGAGATGATTCCTATTTTTACATTTCTTGTACCCATTTTTACTGTGGCGAAAGAAACCGCCTTTAGAAGTAAGACGCCTCATTGCTGAGATGAAAGTGAACGATGTTATGCGATGGATGGTGGATTGTTACTGGTTGCGGGGGTGGGGATGGGTTTGGGAGGGGGAGGACGATTGGCTCTGTCGTCGAGTGCCGGCCGAAGTCAGTAAATCTCGCGGCTGCAGCTCTTGTTCAGTTCTGACCAATCAATGTAAAAACTTTATAAAAAACCCGACTATTTTATAATATTAATTGTACTATCAGACGGAGTGCGTGTAGTTTCGTTATAGACTATTGGATATAGACGAGGAAATGGCCCGTGGCCCCCTCGTCGACCGTGTCCAGACATGTATATTCTTATTTTTTTTTTCACAATATAGGGCTATTGTACCGAACATCCGATCAGAACTTCTGTGATATTCATTCACTCCCACTCCCTAACCTTTGTTATATTGTTGTTCGCACGGAGATCTGTGTGGAGTCCGAAGGGTGGCGCGCGGCGCGTTTGCTCCGCTATGCGAGTGTACGTGAGTGTGTGTGTGTGCGTGCGTGTGTGTGCGGCGTGTGCGCGAGTGCTTGTGCGTGCGTGGCGTGTCCTTTATGTGTAAATATTTACTCGCATCGTGCACCGAGCACCCAGTCTGCGAATATGCATTAAGAAGCCAACAGATACAGATGTCAATTGATACCGTGCCTCCTCCACACAGAGCTCGATCCATCGTTCCCTTTATGTTTCCTCATCACATCTTGAAATTGTTCAAAATACAAAGTTTTAACCAGTTATAATAAATCCATTTCAAATACTTCATTCGTATCAATTATAAATCCCTCTTATCTGTAAAATAAGTAAAAGTAATATGGCAACAGCAAGTTGTCTTAATTTTAAACTTTTCTATTCACTGAAACTGTTCAGACATGCTTTGCTTGATACTGTAGTTTAATATCGGAATAGATAAACGACCTTCACATGTCTGTTCAATCGATTAAAAGTATTTTATATTAAATTTAATCTGTTAAATAATTAAAGTAAAAGTTTGAATTAGATAGTTGAATGAAAATATCATCATTACTGACGCCACAAGAATTATGTACTCGTATATTGTTTATTTTCCGGGAGCTAAATGCCAGTGTTTTCTATTACAACCTTGCAGTAAAAATCTTGAAAAAAGTAATTTATATCTATACTATATTATAAAAAGGAAAGATTTGATTGTTTCTACTGAACCGATTTGAAAAATTCTTTTACTGTTGGGAAGCTACATTATCCCCGGTTGGTATAAGGCTATATTATATTTTCAAAAATAGGGATCCTTACTAAAACTTCAGTAATGTAACCCAAAGTTTACAAAAATTACCTAAAATATTCTTTACATCGCGTGCTCTGCTAAAACTATAGATGATAAATAAAACAATGTACTACGAATTTGTAGAACACATCATTATTTATAAAAAGTGTCGCGATAGCATATGTCTAACTATTATAGTTAATGCCACAATAAGTGTTCTTTTATTTTAAAATTTTGATTGAAATGCCGCCGCTTGAAAATGCTCTTTATTTGTATCTTGGTATTAATCCTTATAAAAATAAATTACTTCATATTTAAGACTCTTTCCGCATCTTTATATAACTTTTTATATAACAAGTATACAAGTTATCATCTTCCTCCTGCCCCTATCCCACCTAGGTGGGGTCGGCACAACATGAATCATGTTGTAAGAGGTTTTGGCTATATTTTTACAACCAGCCGCCTGCCTGACGTCAACCCTCAATATAATTAAATATCAACTGTGTAACTATCACGGTTCATGAGATACAGCCTGTTGACAGAGGGACAAACAGACAGCGCAGTCTTAGTTATAGGGTCCCGTTTTACCCTTTGGGTACGGAATCCTGAAAAGGCCCCAGAGATAAAGTGTTGCACGGTAGACACGTCCTAACTTAAAACGGTCTGAGTTACACCGATTATATGATCCACTATAATATCCCTTAATAGTGTATTCTGTAATAGTAATAATATTAAGCAGCTCTAATGCAGAAAGCGGTGCTCCTCGATACCGCCCGCATCGTTCGTCGGTTTCTCTCCCGTTCACCTTAACCCTCGGCCGTTTGGTCTCCCCTGCCGAGGGCTTCCGTCTCGTTGGGTCCTATTTATATATGTATTATATACAATATTTATATCTATACGTTTATTTTTATCTATAAACCCAACCAGACGAGAAAACAAAGAAATATCCCCAACATAATAGTAATAATAATAATATTTGACTATCCTCAGCAAGGTGCTGTGCATAACCAAACTGTGACATGCATGCAATTTTATGCATTTAGGTTGACAGTTAGAGCTACCTGTTTTAATCCATTGCATTATTACTGGGACTTCTCAGGGTTCGGTACCCAAAGGTTAAAACGGCACCCTATTTCTAAGACTCCGTTGTATGTCTGTCCATAAGTCGCCAGGCGATAAGAGATGTACTCATGAACCGTGATAGTTAGACAGTTAAATTTTCACGATGTATTTCTGTTGCCGCTAGCTCCCATAAAACAGACATTATTTTTTTGCAGTTTTTATAGATAATGTTGACAGTAGTAGTGTTTTTTCACAATATTTAAGTGTAATACTTCTATATTGAAAAAAGATATTAAAGCACGATTTTTTTTAACGTGATAGAGTGACAAACGAGAGAGCGTTTCACCTGATGTTAAGTAATAACCGCCGCCCATGGACATTTCCAACACCTGTAGGGTTGCAAATGAGTTGCCATTTTCAAATAAAGTGGGCCCCGGCTACCTCTCTCACCAGACGTAACGTATAAGTATAACACTTCTATTTTACGCCGGTCTTCTGCGAGGTCATTACGGAATGCCTTGTCTGTTAGGAACAGACTGTTAATAATTACAATTAAGTATCTCAGGAAGTCATGAGTACATAGGACTAACACATTACTTTGTACTACCATAAAAAGGTTAGATAATTAAATAAATTTGAGATGATAAAGTTATGCAATTGAGTTTAAGTACAAAGTCCATTCAGGAAGTTATTTTAAATCTATTTCACCGCAGACACCTGCCCTGTGTGCACAGGTCAGCGTTCAGCTCAGAACCAGCAGAAAAAGTCATTCCAAGTGTAGTGAGTACAGCCACTGTTGGGGGTATGTGGGAAGACATCCTGCCAACAAACACTACATTGTAGAACAAACAAAGGCAGGGATATGAATCTAAAATCTACCTACAACTATGAAGATGTGAAACACTTAAAAAAACACATAAATAATATAGGTAAAAAACACCATTTAATCGAGCAGCAGCTCAGACCAGCTTGCCAGCCACCTATGCCTTCAGCATCCACCTGTGATATTCGAAAAACCAACCTTAGAAACACGAGACAATAAAATTCTCAACCTACCTTCATGTGAGATTTCTAAATACATTCTCAATGCAAGTCTTTTACAATTTTAGTAGGGAACCAGTGAAAATTACAAAAGTATCTTACCACGAGGGATAACACATCCAGCACAGTTTCCCAGACAGCAATCACAAATAATACGACCAGGAACGTGTTCTGATATCAACCTCTAGCCATGCACTGTAAAAGAGCGAATTGATAAGAAAACGAAATACGTAAACAAAACAACCACTGGCATGAACAAAATCAAGCAATTACTTATCAGTTGAAGATAATGCACAAAAATTAATTTATCCAATGTCAATTCGAACCGGCGGCGGTCTCAAACAAATGACTATAATAACTTTCGAACAGGCAAGTTCATATAACATGCAGTCTAGTCTTCAGAAAAACAACAATTTAGACAAAGTGATGAAATCACCCGTTACAATTGTCGATATGATGGTAAAAACTATAATTTTAAAATATTCATTTACATGTTCTCCGAGTTATCTGCATTAAAAAACCAAAGATGCGATCATTTATGTCCGAAGCTATGACCAGACTTATTTGTCACTTTTACGTGTAACCCCGAATATCCCGTAATTAAAGCGGAACCATTTCGATCCATTCTTTCGATCTTCATGACGTAATTTCAAGGGTATTTCATTAAAAGATGAAAAAATATTCGGAAGGTTTTATATGTGTGTATGTTAATTTATAATTTTAAAATTTTGTTAAATACCCGTGCGAAGTCGGGACGGGCCGGTAGTTACAAATAAAATACGAGCCAAACAAAATTATAAAATGTGAGTAAATATTATGATTCCATTTGCATTTCGCTTAAATAAAAAATTAAAAACCTATTTCTTTTAAATCCATCAATATCAACAACACCTTTTCTTATTAGTGGGTAACCATATAATTATATCATTCCTGCTGTCCTCGATAGTGGTGCTATATTCAGTGAAATTTTAGGTGTTGCGGTGGCGAAACAGAGTGGTAGACAGTACCAGCCTTATGGAACACCAGCATTGACAAATTTAGGATCAGAGCAAGCACCGTCGACGACGACCTATATGATGCGATCTGCCAAAAAGCTGGTGACCCAGTTGCATAACTTCTCGAGAAGCTCATAGGC